AATGGGCTATCAAAACACCCGGCGGTACCAACCAGATACGCTGATAGTTGTAAACGCAGTCCTCACAGGATTGTGTTATTTACCATTGAATATCAATTTGGTATCGGCAATTTGCGGGTCGTCATCGGTGGGTTGCACGATCCCTTTCGTCACCACTACCGGCCAAAAAAAAATAGTTCCGTTCTGTTTAGTACTGGGTCCCTTCGCTTGAATCCCGTCCCTAACCTGAAAATCTTCTGTCGATTTTCTAATACTGACGGTCGTCAAGCACGTAACGCACCGAACGGTGTGAAATTAAGGGCGACAATAAGAATAGTAATTGCTTATTTTGTTTTTCTTAGAAAAGCCCTTTGTAGTACTATTATACTTTTCCAGGAGTCGAAGAAGAAATTGGTCGTCGTCGGTGTGATCGCGATCAATTACTGTCTAACATGGCAACGTATATAAAGTGATTGAACATTAGTCGATTGCTAGCACTGGACCTGTTGCGGTCAAAGACGGATTGCCTGTGAGATCAGGCTACAGCTACAAGGCAAGACTACTCCTTTACAATATACAGGATATACAGTTGATACACATAAAATAAAATATTCTAAAAATGTTCGATTTGACAGAACATAACAGGTTTTCATTCATTAAATAGTGATTGCGGAGCTCGAATTAGCTTCTAGATCATTTGTGTTTGTTAACAAAATCGTAGGAGGTAATACCACCTCACTAGCCGGACAACGCACTTACTGAAGTGGCCTTATTCCCTTTATTGTTTGTACCTCTAGTGGTATTGTCATTACTGCTGTTGATGTTGACGTGCCTCAATGGGGTTTGACGTTTCATAGAATCGTCGACGTCATTGCAGTACGTTGATCGTAGTGGTAATGGTGAAGATAAGAGATGATCCGTCCTGTAACGAAATGCGAAGATCATCAAATGGAACCGAACTGATCCGGGCTGGAAAACAAAAGGTTTGGTGTCTATCCAAAAATATAGCAGTAACTGTGAAACCATTATCTGCGCGGTAGGCTTGTTTGGTAGCTCATATGTCTGATCGACCGAGAGCAGAGTCCGAGGGCAACCAGCATCCAGGTTAGAACGGAAACCCCTACAACTCTTTCTCGCTCTGAATTGGGAACGGGAGCTAACTAAACAGGCTTCCAGGGGATGCATCATGTTACTACTGCTGCAGTGGTCGCTACCTGTTGAAAAGCGGGACTATCGCGGACCCACGAGCAGGTCCGCTGTACTGTCGCCAGCCTGGCTACTCATGTCGTACCTTCGATGGAAATAAAAAAGTGCACCCAAAAAAGTAGCAGTAGAGGATGAAACAAACAAAGATGAGTTATAGTTTTACTAGTCGACAGTAACAGCAGTCATCGACGACGATGGCGCTGATTTGGTGACAGTAACGCTCATCCAACAAACTCGAATCTGCCTAGTAAAAATAGCTCTGTGTGTCTATTGTACACCTTATCATACACAAATTGCGGTCTGTCCCATTTGAATCAGCGAAGTATCTGAAAGAAGATGGATTGCGAAAACAGTGTACAAAGGAACAGAATTCAACAGAGGCAATCGTGGTGATAACGGGACAGACGTTGATGAATTTGACGTTGATGATAGAGGCTGGTTGGCCTGTGGGTTATGCGTGCGTGTGCTGGCGTTTGCTGTGGCGCTGTTCCCTCCCTAATTCTTCTTTTGTTTTGGTTAAATCGACACTCACCCGCATCCGATCAAAGGCGAGGAACAGAACTAATCTTACGTATAAAGATGGCAACGAACAAGACGGTAAATAGGAGTTCTGCTACATTGCCTCTTGCCGGCTGAATGCTCCGGATAGCTTTGTCTCCGATAGCCCAACGAATCGGGGTCGAACGCTGGCCTGCCAAAGTCGAGCAGCGCGGCAAGTTTCGAGAACGAAACCGGCCCAGGCACTAGAGACAGACCAAAACGATGATGACGACGGCGAGGGAAGAAGGTATCCAGCGCAAGGTGGGAAAGATGGACGAGTACGAACTATAAAGCATTACAACGATGCGGCGACCGTTACTATTACTGTCGGTATTCCATTTATATAAGTATGGCGGTTGTTGCTACTAATGACGGTAGAAAACGCCAGGATGCCACTACCGCTGCTAGTGCCTCCGTTGCTCCTGACGATGTACTGCTGCAAGCGATGGACAGTGGCGAAACTACGTACAAGCGAAAATCACTTTGAACACGATGGTAACGCGTCCAAAACAGGTCAGAACGGCTGTAATTAGCCAACCGGCAACAGCTGAAAGGCAACTCAGTTCAGCAGTAATCCAATTGACGGATAACGAGATGCTGCCGTCGACTACTCACCGGATACTGGATTGAACCGTATCATGAAAATATTGGACGTGTCATATCATTATGGCTCATCTATCCATCCAATATACGCGCCTGTCCGCTTTCTTCCCTAGCTCTTACGATGACTAAGATGACTGTAATGGTGACCACCACAACCACGATCAGTAAACCCATTGTCAAAGGCAAAAATCCAAACGCGTCGAAATGCGCTCGACCTAACTGGGCCTCAGTCCTCACCGACGAACGACGGGAACGTCGTAAGTTAGCCAGTTCATCAATTACAGTCAAAAAATGAAAAGCTGGGTAGAGCGATGAAGTGAACAAGTTTGCAGTGTTTCTGATCTAGAGATACCCGCATTGCTATCTTCAAATGGCCAGCCGGCCGTGAGGTAGTGGGATGCAGGGGGGAGTAAAATGGCCGGCTGGACCCAGAGAGTGAAAGAGAACACACAAGACGAAAAATACGTACGCACGGCAAAAACTAAATCATCAGTCAGCCTTCCAGCAATAGCTAGAAGCCGCCGTCGGCAGTCGCTTAATTGGTCGCACGTTGCGCATGCAAAGTGTGTACAGAATTAGCATTACCTATTCGCGTACCTTTCCACAAATTCTGCTGCAGCCTAACTGACAATCTTGTAGTGCTCCTTAACTTAACTCACAAGAGAAATGCTCCCGAAAAGTGCATCGTTTTACATATCGCTGAACTTTCCATTACTAGACAACAGAACGGAACAACCGGTCAGTAAACGTATTTTTGACGTTGAAGGCCAGCAATAAATTCGTATAATCTATACTATTCAACACTTTATTGGCTTTAGTGTTAGGGTCATTAATCGAACGCAGTAAATTCGGTTGCAAGAGAAAAGCTAGACCGTCTATCTGTGACCGTTTGTCTGTGCATAAATAGAGGCATCAAGTACACATAACTAAACGCGCAGGCAAAAACGCCCGTCATCAGAAAAACGCTACTTGATGTTGACTACTGAAGGTGACTATCAGCGTTAACAGTAAGAGTAGTTAAACTATATATTTACGTAGGTTTTTTTGTTTACTTGGAAACGGACAGGTTGATTTTGCCCTCTAGGTACGAGAGACACAGAAGAGTAATACGCATTGAACTACATTAAACTACGTTACTGTCGCTGAACACAGCTGCTGTTACTTTATTCAGATTTAATCGTGATGTGGTCTGCTATTGTTGTCGTCGTCGTCGATAAGCGCATTTATAGGCCCAGGTCCTATTGCCTGTTGAGTTCTATTACGATTTGCCAATAATAACTCTCGTTTGAGAACCATAGAGTTCCTGCTCCGATTCGTCGTTTACTGATTTCACTGTTCACTACTATCACACTACTGCTATGTTGTTGTTGCTATACAAGGCCACAAGTCAAACCCATAGCAAACAACAACGACGACTACATATCAGCAACAGAGGATTAACGATAAACGGGACTGTTCTGCTGCGAACTGTTCCCAGTCTCTCGACAAACTTATGACAATTATGATAATGTAAACCTACGCACACACACGTACCTATTGGACACGAATTATATGTGCCGGTGCATGGCACTATAGCGTAAGACGAAACAACGGGAGTTAGGAACGGCCAGGGTAGTTGACTGACTGGCCATTTGTCTTTATCTGGCCTGCCGGTCGAATTATTGGTCGGCCTTCGATCACTCTCGTCTACCCGCGAGCAAGTTTTATTTGTCACTTTCGATATTATCGCCGTTCCTCTGTTCGCTGCTTACTCATCAATGGCAAGGAGCGAATCACTGCTCATTCAAGACGGACAGAAGATTGTCGTTTTCAACTGAAGACGTGATGACGATACGATGGAGCACAAAATCTGGGACGGCACACTTTGACCTGAGTTATAGTTAGTCTGTATGGTATATATGAATCACAGAAGCGGCGGCACAAGGGGCTCTAGGTGTAGCTGCGACGGTGATAGAGCATCCATCCCGCCAGGACTCGCTTGTTGTATCGCAGTGCGCATAGATGGTACTGCTATAGATTCCGGTGGTGATAATGACGCTGCTTGATGCTAATCTGTTGTCTGTTATTCATCGCTCATTGGCCACCCGCATTGTGCGCGGTGATTCCTGTTTGGCTAACGGCGATAGAAGAAGACGCACGCGCTTCGCGTGCTCTGCATGTATCATAAATTGCGTACCGTAAGGCACGTCATTTTTTTTTGCTCATTTGACGTTGCTCAGTCACTCGCCGCCTTATCCATTAAATCATGCCCACGCCCGCTCCGCTACTAGCCAGACAGGTACACGCGGCCTGTAAGGTAAATGGTCTTCTATCGTGCTTGATTTGGATAGCATTAGATAATCCGAGCCCGAGCCGGAGGCAGAAGCAATATTGTTGTTTACCTATGTTCATTTGCAATTACATAGTAGAATATCTTGGTTGTTGCATTGTATCGCGAGTGTGCTTTCGCATCGACTCGAAACGATAAAAGCTAAAAAAAAAAACCTAAAATATGTTTCATATATATGTTGTTTTTTTATTTATATATATTTTATATGTATATAAAAGATTTCAAAAAGTGACACGCAGTATATACAATTATGCTAGTCTAAGCTATTTGAAAGTAATATATGTGTATTATGGACTTTGTTTTGATTTTGTATTAAAGTTATTTATGTTACCATCTCTCACAGGCACTGGCGGAAGATCCTCAGGATACGAAACAATCAGAACCAGCATCGGACTCAGCTGAAGCTGATCTTGAAGCAGCGGCCTCTTCCCATGAAGATGCCTTTGCTGATGCCGTTGATTCTGCTTTACACGCCGACAAACACATCTCGTCAGAGCATGAACAAAAGGAGGCTGGCCACATTATTGAGAATCGTGTTCAGGCACCGTCACAGCTCCAGCATCACTTCCCATTAGGCTTCCCGTTCAATGCGCATGGTTTAAATTACGCCCCATCTAATGTTATCCACCAACATGCTGCTCAGCCGCGCGATATCGGCCAGTCACAACAGTTCGTTCAGATGCAGCACCATGGCCCTCAGCCATGGCCAGTAGAACATGGGCATCCTCAGCTGCCTCATCAAGGCCTTCCTGGTCCCGTTTTCCACCCCCCCCAGCCACAGGTTGATGTGCCTAACCAACCGGCTCCACAACATGCAGTGGCGTTTCAACCTGACGACGGTCCTCATCAGCTTGAGCCTACCGCCCACCAGGAGACGCCCCTGCACAATGTCCAACATGAAGGTTCACCTCACGTACACCATGAGGAGCATCATGAAGAAGTTCACGACAACGCCGTAGCTCCCATACCCGTAAATCACCAGCCAGCCCATATCGACCCGGAAGAGGCGTGGCCCCTTTCACAGCCCGATATGCCAAAAATTGTCCACCTTGATGTGAAGTGTGAGAAAAACCTTATGAAAGTAGTCGTCGAGTTTGACCGGCCATTCAACGGACTCATCTTCTCGAAGGGTAACTCAAGGGTGCATGATGACCCGCATTAGCACTGCTATCCGCATGTTTTATGTTTAATATCCGTACACTATACATGTGTCTTGTTTGGAACGTATGTGTCGTGTGTGCTAGTGCGTGTGGTGCGTGTCCCAAGGATCGTTAAACCCTGCCCTTCTACAACGGAGACAAAATCGTCATGCAAGCCAGAAAAGGGTCGGCTACGGTCCCGGAAAGATCAGGCGACCTACTGAACAATAAAAAAGAAAAGCCGATGAGAAATCTGAAAACAAAAGCATAAATGGTAATACTGATATGTTTGCCATTGCCTTGACTCTACTACTTTTTCCACACTATGTGTAATCGAAAACAATCTGCTATTTTGTTAACTTTTTCAATCACTGTTTGTTTTACTTATATCCTATTCTTCAAAACAGGTCATTACTCATATGGTTCATGCGTACACCTGCCGGCCGGCAGCGGCAAGAAGTCGGTATTCTTTGATATTTCGATCAATTCATGTGGTACCGTAGGAAATGCGCAAAACGGTTTGTACGGTCAGGAGGGCAACACTGCCACGGGTTCGTTCTTCGAGAACACTATCATTATCCAATACGACCCACAAGTACAGGAGGTATGGGACCAGGCCCGCAAGCTACGTTGTACCTGGCACAACAACTACGAGAAGGCTGTTACTTTCCGTCCGTTCCCCGTCGATATGCTGGACGTAGTTCGTGCAGACTTTGCCGGAGATAACGTCGGATGTTGGATGCAGATCCAGGCTGGCAAGGGACCGTGGGCGTCAGAAGTAGCCGGTATTGTCAAGATCGGCCAGACGATGACAATGGTAAGTTTAACGGATAAATCGCATTACAGAGGCCCTTGCCTCCGTATTTCTATGGCGAATTTCGCTTTGAGAACACTCTTGATTGTTCCTGACTCCTGGCTGTTACGGGCTCGAGACCCAGTCGACTCAGGTCATCTGGATTTGCGCAAACCTCTTGACTCAGTGGTTCCACAAACTAGAGCTGCCATCAAATCTTGATTCTTCTGCTAGAAGCAGATCGATGTGCCGGCGGCAACGGTTCGATAGGAAAGCTTCTCAAAGTAAGATGCATGATATCTAGCTATCTGATTCGTGATGATGATGGCTGTTATGAGGCTGCGCTACGTAAAACGGAACGTTGGACTGGATTCTTTTTGACCTTCCCTATGCTGTATACTATCCATTCGTAACTTTTTTAAAAGTTTCTGATCTATTCTTTCCATGCCTTTTGGTGTGGATCCGGACCTTCAGCAGCCACCTCCTACTTTTTTCATATTACGCTTGTATATTGCTCTTATCTAGTCAATATATCTTCCTTTAGAGAATGCTAGTGACGATTTTGTTGTTTACGCAACGATAATTTCAGTGCTTTTGTCACACATGACTTAGCTACATGTAATTGGCCTGGAGTAGTAGCTAACGGTGATGTCGGACATAAAACTCATAACATTTTCAGGTACTTGCTATCAAAGATGACGAAAACAAATTCGATATGCTGGTAAGGAACTGCATAGCTCATGACGGACAACGGGCCCCGATCGAACTAGTTGACTCGAAGGGATGCGTCGCTCGGCCCAAGCTGATGTCCCGCTTCACAAAGATCAAGAACTTTGGTTCGTCTGCTACTGTGCTTTCGTACGCACATTTCCAGGCCTTCAAATTCCCGGACACAATGGAAGTTCACTTCCAGTGCACCATCCAGATCTGCAGGTTTGTGTATTAACGTTTTGTTAGTCAACATATCACGTATGAGTAACTAATTCTTGCCTGAACCATGAATCTTAATCCATAAAACTACGTAAATGATTGTTGCTTTTCGCGTGATAGTGGTATATTGTGCTTTTTAGAGGTAAAAGTATTTACGTTAGTGATTTGTTAAGAGCACTGATTCTAACTACTTGATACCTAGATATTATGGTTTAGGAGAATTCCCGCAAAGCAAAGTACCACAACGAAATAGAGTTTTAGTGAACAAAAACAAGGTTTTCCTACGGGAGATTTTGACTGATTGTATATACATTCAGGGAGACCAGAGCTAATGCTACTGATTGTTTTTATCCAGCCATAATTACTTTTAACAAAACAGCATCTCCAAAATCAGTCCTCTTAATTGGTATCGTCATGCATATAAATTAACTATTTTACTTCATGCAGATACCAGTGCCCGGAACAATGTGCCCAGGATGATCAACACGCAGCCAGTGATCGTCAAATTACGTACTCGGCGACGCTGTCACGCCAGGAGCGTGACCTGGGACGTTTCCGTCGGGAAGTTGTTCTACCTGGAAAACGGGACGATGGTGAGAAGGATATCGGCGTATCAAAGGTGATTCGTGTCTTGAGCGCCGGTGACGTGGATTTCAACCTGGGCAATTCGACTCAGGAACATCCTCTAGAATTCAACCAAGAGGAATTGAGCTCGATGGTCTGTATGTCAATAATGGGCTTCGCATCGGTTTTGCTGCTTCTTCTTATCGTCCTCGTCGTCACATGCATTATGTGTGCGTTTCTTTACATTCGTCATAAGCAAAACCAATTGGGGCCGGCATTTAAAAGCTACCCGCATGATCTGCCCGTTTTTACCAAGAAGACAAAGGAGCAGACGCAGTAGGACGTGGCCATTAATTTGAATTGCAATTTTCATATTACCGCGTCCCGCCTCGATGAGATCTACAACCACAACTACGCTGATAAATATCGGTTGTCTTGACCAGCTAATGTTTGTTACTCTGCACGAACGGCATCTACACTTCGTAGTCGGCTGTTACTATTAATGTTGTACCTCATCACATCATGGCGTCGTCATATAGGTATCATCTCAACATGTGTTCCAATTAAAGAACCATGATGAAGATGATGACTTTAATGCTGATGAGGAATCTGAGTGTACATCATTATAGAGCTGGCTTAATGTTTTAGGAGCCGCGGCCATAGTCATCGATACAACTCCTAGGTATAAACTAAATACTAAGTGCCGTTATTGAAACTAACGATATTTATTGCCAAGCCGGGGGGTGAGAACATTGTATTTATCCCTGGCAGTGCGTATGGACCTCTCTGCTGTAGACTAATAAACTTAACTATTCTACATTCTCGTATCACAGCCTCTAATTCGAACAGATTCACTCGCTTACCCGTATATAAATTTTTCCATCCTCTAGTCGAACCTCGACACCTCGTTTCAATTCTGCACCTGTATACAAACCGTTGACACAATATCGATTTTTTCTTCAGGAAAGTGACAATTACCTTTGGAATTTCAATCTTTTGTGACTCAGCACGTTCCATATGCGTTTCATAAATATCCAACAAAGCTCGTCGCGTTGCTCGTTCTATCCGCTAATTATAAGCTTCATCTTTTCTAAGTATAATAATGATGGTAGTACTATGAGTTTTGTCTGTTCCACGCTGGTCCACAACGTACGCGTGCCAAACCTCAACAGAAACAATAATTTGCGGCTTAAAAAGACACAGAAGATCGTCCTAACACGCCGCCCATAAGCACGATACTTCAAGTAAAACAAGACGTTAATTTGGTTTTGAAACAGACGCGAACTGCCACTTAGCTATTGCCGTCGGGAGCCGTAGAACCTCATAAAAAGACGGGGGCGCGCCCGCACCCGCCACTTGTATATACATCATTTTGTGTAGCGCGAAAACCCACAGTGTATCTGCATAGAGCGCTTACTTTTTATGTGGCATCTCACCAAGGTCATTTGAGCACCTTAAATTATAAGTGCAAGGTTATTTTGTCTTAGTATATATATATATATATATATATAGATATATATATGTATATATATATTTGCAACTGCGCTCTAAAGAAATAAATTGAGATCAACAAATTCCCACTAAGATTTGTTTTAATTAACGTTTAAATAGAATTAACACTTCATTACATAATATATGAGGCTTAAAACAATGGAAAAGATCCAGAAGTTGGGTCACTTCAATATATCTTATCCTGAATCACTTATTTGTACAATGATCTCGGATAAATTTCTATTATTCGTATTTTTTGTCCGATAAAAAACCTTAAATGTTCTTTCTCAAATGGTCGCTTTTCGGCCTCCATGACCGTATTCAAAGCTAGACCACAACGTATATCTGAGTCTACCGAGCAAATACATTACCTACTAGACATGTTTTTGTTGTATATATGTCTACAGATGCGCGAACCCCATGTTTCTGTGTTTTTGAATACTGTCATACCACGATATTCAGATTGCCGACCATTTCGTAAATCTGTTAATCGATGCAGTGACATGCAGTTAATGGACGATGATTTTCTTTGGTTATGCTACACCTATCCTAACATTTAGCTTAATTCGTTTCAGCTTATTGTACTAGAACCGTTAGCGCATATCCCGGTAGCACCATCTCAACTATCAAGGCTCATTTGCAGTACTTGCATCAAACTGAATATATTATTTTCGCCTTTTTATTCGACATATCGTTGAAGATCCGAGTCTTCTCGGATCAAAGAAGGTTGAAAAGATTCTAGAAAAAAACTAAACTCGGATAATACCGAATTCCATAAAAAAAGGTTGTATCTTTCTTACGGAAGCGATGCTAATGCAGGATTAATCCTTGATTTCCTTAAGCATTTATTTGAGGTCAACTTACAAGTAATGTTGCCTGCTTTGTCTTACGCATTATGATTAGCCAGTCCAGTGTGAGCTAGTAAAGTCATCTACATAAAATTACATTTCGTTCCTTGCTGTAGATTTGGAAGATTTCTTTATATATAAAATCTTATTCAACAACAGTACCAGCCAGCAAGCCATAGAAACAAATATAACACACTTTGAAATCTGTATAACCAAATATAAAAAGAAGAGAACAAAAAATTGGCTCAACGGCGATTACATATTCCTCATTTATTGCGTGTAATACGCCTACTAGTTACTGCCAAACATCAATAATGAAAAAAAAATTCTAACAAAAAATACAATGTAATATACTTTAGCTAATGTACAAATCCTTTTCGTGCACACTGGGAAAACTTTCCATCTTTGATTAGTTTTGTATTTCACGAAAATTTGTGTTTATTTACATTTGTGTTTACCGGACGCGCGTGCTACAATGTTGTATTTCAACTTAGTTATTGTTGTCATTTCTAAGTCACATATTCTATCGGTTAGGATTAGCGCTTTATTCTTAATATAATCTTTATTTAACGGATTAAATGATTCGAATCTACTTTGAGATTTTTTTTTTAAATAGAAGAAACATAAACATTCACATTTTTTTGTAGGTTGTCTTCCATCATTAATACCCATACATATTTACATCATTAGCATATACCATCATTTTTATACCGGAATGTAGGTAACTAAGGGAATTTCTACACCGGCAGGAAAATAGGTAAATGGCTCCAAAAGAGTATCTCTGCGCATGACGAATTAAGTTTCAGAACTTTATTCGTAGATATATTGAATTTAAACTAGTCTAGATAGGATTACACAGCGAGGTCCAATAGTTCGCTATTAATTTTGTGACATTGTTGGTCGCCATCTTTGAATGTCATGTCTACTGCATATGTATTACGAAGTAAGCCTTAGGTTATCGGGACAAACGCACAAATGGCTGAATTAACTCAATGCATTCTTTACTGAGATAAAAATCCTGCCGTTAATCAATTGTGGACTTCGCAGTAGGATTTTCACTCCGGATAATTTTCACACCTATTCAAAAACAATATGCAATATGTCTCAAAATGGTCGTGTGCACGCAGGTTTTGCTGGTAACATTTCTCAGCGTGCACCCTAACTTACAACTAGATCTTGTGCCTCATTTACCTGAACGCTCGACTTCGACCTTGGCTATTAAGCTTAACTGCTGATTCTTTCATCCTCAAAAATACTTATTCTTTTTGCCCTATCTACTTCACCTTTTAACTTTAAATACGCCGCATTCACTTGAGACACATATCACAGTTTAGCTTGCGGTCAGCCCTACTATGGTTTAGAACCTAAGATAAGCTCCCTGGTCTATGCGGTCCTGTTCCGCGCTGTGCTAACTGCCCTTCTGCACTAAATGCTCAAAAAGTGCAGCATTTATTTTTTTGCACGCAGGCAGGCCGGCCAAGAGCACACTCTAGAGTCCCCTCAGCCCATGATCTCTGCCAGAAAATCTAGTAGCAGCATACTGGCGGCCTCCTTTATCGATACGTTTTGATAGCCTTTTGCTACTCGTTAGGTTACCGTCCTTGAGGACAACAGGAGCTTTTGTCTGTTCGACAACCTTCCCAAAGCCGTGCCCCTCATTTATGTGACACACAAGCTAGTCGGGTCGAGGCCAGAAATCAGTAACCGGCGGGTTCCGTTTTTGCTTCTCCTGCTCTTGGCAAGATGCGTGTCGAACGATAGCCTGCCTTGAAAGCCCTTCCAATAAGGTTCTTACGAGCGCCATTTCACTCAGTCCAGTATCCGGACTAAGTAACGCGGTTAAGCAGCCTGAAGATGTACCAGTGACAGCCTAGTAAGTTGTGAATTTGTTGCTAATCCTAGAGGTCTGGATCAAATCTCGTTCCGTGCTGGGAGTTAACCAACCGTTAGTGAATGTCTAATGGCAATACTGGACGCAAAACCGAACATAGGAAAACAGAGAGAAGTGGTTTAAGGACAAGATTGTGAAAAAACCAATGACGGCTCTATACTTTGACTGCACGCTTATTCGAAGCTACACATCAAAATGATAGACCAACGCGATCCAACACCATTTATTTTTATGTAAAACATAATTTTTTTCATTACTTAAATCGAAATCAATTTCTATCTCGACGTGTTTGCGCGCTAAGGAAGTCGAGCTTTAAAAATAAGTGTTAATATGCAGGACAGTACCTAATATGCAATGACGTCAACAATATTATTTACATGGCGAGATTTATGCTCTGCACCATAATTTGATGTGGAATATCTTTCTTTGTTGTTACTTAAATCAGAGTCAATTCCTGTTTCTACATGTTCGTACGCTATCGAAGTCGCGTTCCAACAAGCATTGCGCATATACAAGACCGTATATATAATATGTCATTATGTCAACAAAATATGCACATCTGATTTCCGTCCAGTCGCTCTTACGATCCATTGACAGTGACTAAGATTTGTTAAAATATTAATCGACATTTGCTCGCTTGCGTAGCTATTCCGGAATTAGCCACTCGGGTTGACTGCAAATCGTTCGAAGAAAGGTTGCCCTTGAAGCCGTCATACGATAGTGACCTTCGTAAAGTACGTTTCTTTAAAGAAGTGTCCTTGTTTCTGACAGGGTTAACATTCTCCGAGCTTTTTGTCGGTATTTTGCCATTGTTAGCGTACGCGTTTACCAGATGATTCGTCCGATCAGGTTGACGCACGGAACCAGCGCCTGCTTTAACCCCAGATGAGCTTTTGAGTTCGAAAGCCGTGCCTGCTCTTCGCAGCTTGGAGGTCTTCGAACCAGACGCCGTTGGTATGCTTCGTACTGGCTTATGTGGTGTGCGAGCGTCGCCCGAGTTAGTTGAGTTGCTCCGACTTCTGCTGTTACCACTTCGCTGGTCCGTGTTTAAAATTTCGCGCAGCATTTTGCCATGAACATACACAGGGCCATGGTCAGCCTCGTACGCATCAAGGAACTTCATGATCTGGTTCATAATCAAAGGCAGATGTTTCTTAAGGCGATCTCGTTTCTTGGTCTCCTGTAGCAATGCGCCGCCTCGATTTTTGAAACGTTGTGGATCCTTTTGAGCTTCCTCAAGCTGCCTGTAATCCTCTTTCATCTGTTGCCAGTCGTCAAATAGCTTGAACAACGGTATCAGCGACCGATGTCTGCTCTTCAGGTCGTCTATGTGTTTTTCATATGCTTCAGCAAGTTTTTCTGAGGGTCCCTGATCAGACAATTTTTCGAGGTCTAGGGGTAAACGCCAGCCGCTCTCTGCCCGTAGGTCTTCATAACATTTTTTTGTTTCGTACTTCAATCTTTCGATGAACTGTGGCAGGTTCGCTTTGGCCAACAATTTGTACTCCTTTTCTAACTCCTCGAGTCTGCAAATAAAGAAAAGGACGACACGGTTACACATTCTACCAAATAACAAACACTGTAAGGTCAAGTAGTAGGTTCTTTGTGCCTAACACATAATAATTGAAACAGGTTGATGCTATAATGGATTGCGGGACTCGCCGATTCTATAACCTGTCCTTTTTTTCTGTACTGTCAGGGGTTAGAATTGTGTTACAAGATGATTTGGCGAGGGTAGTAACCTGCTCACGGCCTGATAGGTTTTTGTCGACCTGAGACGGCCAAGTAGTTTTTCGCGTTCAACAGAATCGACGTCGAGGCGATTAAATATCCGCTGTAACTGTTGAAGTAAAAGTCTGTGACGCGCACAGAGCTCCATTTCTTCAATTCGCAACTGTTGATACACAAACGAAAGACTGTTATTGACAAACGAAAAAAATAAGAGATACAATCACAATTTTAGCAAAACCTGCGCATTGATAAAAGATTTTTAACGATCGACTTTCGGGTCGAGGAAAATCACTCTAAAGAAACATTTCAGAAATTCACTGAAGTCAATACAAGCGGACTTGCGATCGTCTCCTGAGCGTTCTGAGTTAATGATAACGTTCTTTTTTTAGTTTTGTTTGCATCGAGGCGCTAACGAACGAACGTACGCCGAATCCATCAGATTGAATGTCCAAAATGGATTATTTTTTTTAATAAGGCAAAGCTTCTCAATGCAACACTTTTTTTTTTTGTAATATTGTAAAATCTGACAATAAGCTTCCAAAGTGTTACATCTGTGAAATAGGTAGTGTTCAATATTACGGTCTTCTATACACTTAGAAGCGTGCGATATGGTCGAAACACACTGATTCGTTACACGAGCGTATTGTCACAAGAAGTAATGCAATTATGTTACTACTCACTGCATCGAGCATATCACCAGCCAACTCAATGTTCGCTTTGCTTAAATCCCACAGTTCGGGCGATAGGCTCTGCAGGCTTTCCTCTATAGCGACGTTGGGTACCTTCCCTATGCGATCCATCACTTCGCGTGCCTCCCCTATGACTGGTCGCAGATTCTCCAGTCGAACTTCCCGTTCCTTGCGCAGCGACGCTACATGCACAGATAGCAATGCCAACTCTGATTCCGTTGGGATTTTATCGTTTGCCTGCCACAGGCATCATTACACGAAATATTAAACCTTTACAGACGACCAGCATATTGTTATGTAGAGTTTCTTATATGGTAATTAGCAAGTACGAACAAAGTTATTACCTATTAACTATCTTTAAAGTATCTATTGTTCTCTACCGTAGTCTACAAGAGATTTTAGTTTTTTCGCAACTTTGGTATAGCTACCTGTTTAAAATAATCAACTTGACACCGACGGCGCACGAACGAAGTAAGTAGGCACCTCGTTGACAACTAGCATGTAGTTGAAACCTCAAAACTACTTTTCGCATTATTGTTTTGTATTTTGTATTTTTCTCTTCGAATAATAAAAGTATCCTTCATGGATTGATTAGCTTGCTCAAAAAGTAATGCTCACTTTTCAGATGTTTTCTTATGCTATCTGCTAATTTCTGTATACCATCTAAAAGTACTCCTTTCTCTCACTGAATCGGTTATGATCTTATTGTATAGCCAAAACTTTATCTCGAGCCCAGCCCTTAAAAACGTGTGTTTTAGGTATTTAATTAAGTGCATTTTTTAAATGGATTTAAAAAATTACTGGCTGTGTTCTTCAATATCATACCTAAAAATTTCTGGCCAAACTCAATAGGTAGATTGGTTAAGGTTGTAAAGCTGTAAAGAATCATACCAAAATCGGACCCAAATAGCCCAAAAATGGTTTGGTTACTTTCATTCTGGAAATTTCGATGTCGATGATACCCCACGTAGTGGGCGACAAATAATGGGAAGACTTAACGAAATTAGGTAAAAGTTGAGTACGACCCCCACGTAAGTAGCCATAATATCGCCAAAGAAGTAAACATCCGTCAGCAAACTCTCCTAACTATTTGAACAAAGCTAGCTATACAAACAAACTCGATGTTCGAGTGCCACACAGAATGACACAAAAGAAATTACTCGAGCGAAGCTCTATCTACGAGACTCTACAAAAACAGTAAAATCAAGCCGAACAATTGATTCGGAGTCTTCTTCTACTGTCAACAACTAACAGACAGGAACTAGTAAACAGAAAAAGGTGTTGCCTTCTGCCATGCCAGCGCCAGGCCACATGCATCTTTAACTAGTCGGCAAAAACTGAAAGGCCTTAGATAGGAAATTTTCATGCACGCCAAATCTTGGACCATCAGACTATCATCGGTTGCAGTTCCTGCAAAACTCCTTTAATACTACTCTAATGGAGTTTCAATGAAGGGATACAAAGGTAACTTTTTACCCAGAAATCACAAAAGTTTTATGGTGTTACTCGGAAAAATTGAGCCAGCAACAGTATTTAAAAAAATAAAACAAATATTTTTTCTCCCTTTATATTTAAAAATTATCAATACTCTTTGACAATCCAATTGATACTGCACACAAATCTTCTATTACAGAGGAGGCCCGTTTACTTCTCAATTGACTTCTGGCGTTCTTCAACAAACTCATAAGACTAAAAAACTAGAGCTTTGAGAAGATCTTAAAAAGTGACAAAATATGTGTATAAGGTTTAGACAGACGAGTCAGAAACAAAGTATCTTCTGGTTATTTCTCTACGAAAGGGACCAAACTTCTGGTTTTTAGTTACCCTACTAAGCCTTATAGCACAAAACTACTTTTCTCTTTTACTAATCTGATAGTAGTTCTCAAGGAAAGACGTAACGTGTCGCTGACTAGAAAATATTTTCTTCATCTTTCAAGGCCTCTAAACCGGCTGCAACATATGTAAACTTGCACGAACACCAGCATGCACCAGTTTAATGGGATACTGTATCATAAAAAAATGTCCCGAGAGGTACAATGTAGAACGATTATCCAGCCCGAAATCTAGGCGCTTTTTCGACGCCCTGGATCGAATGTTTTGAGCAAGAAATAAATTTAAACATAAAATAGGCCGCCTTTAAGGACAGGACCATAGCTATTTCCAGCCAGCTCCTCCATAGCCAGGTGATGTAATAAATTCGTTCGATGTACCCACGCTGAGACTCAAAGGTGAATCATAGGCAGGCGTACCTCCGCACTGTAGTCGATGCTACCTTGCCAGACCTGTTGGTCACTCATTAGGATTAGAATCTTCTGTTCCTGTCGACGTAGCTCCTTGAATTGTAACATCCTCGCGCTGCGTATGCGATCGGCTTCTTTTGAGCATTTGTCAAGCCACTCAAACTGTTGCTGTAGGTTTAATCCGTTAGGTTGAACGGGCTCAGCAAGTTCTAACTTTTTGTAAAGTTCACTCAACTCATTTCGTATCAGCTGAATGCTGATCTTCAGATCTTCGAGCCTCTGTAGTTCGTCTTCGATTATCGTCTGCCATCTGTTCAAATTAGTTGTAATTATTATTTGGTACTACTGTTTGATTCCAAGAACGTCAATAATTATCGGCTCGTTTACGTTTTGCCCAATTTTGTAATTATAATAAAGAGCTTTTAAATATCAGTTGCTAAACTGTTACTCACACCAGCAACTCAGTGCTTCTAGAGCAGGCACGAATTCTTCATCTAGTCTCAAAAACAAAATTTTGTTAATTATAACTTGTATTTTTATTGGTATTAGAGTTACGTTTCCGATTAGGAGTTCCCATAAAAAATAGTTTGTTAAATTGTGATAAAGAGAACCAAGCTGTGTGTGTGTGTATGTGCGTGCTATTTTAAGTATAATTGAATAGATTATGTAACAAAATCAGAGTTCTTATGTATACCGATGTTTTTTTTTTTCGAATGAGCGACATTTCCAGCCTTTTGCCAAATTCAGCCGTTGGGCAAAAATGTTCTCGACCTTACAAATTCAGTTCAAGAAGTACGACCACACAGCGTACACACATAACTCAAGCTAATTCATAGGAGCTTCTTAAACAATAGAAATTACTGATCGCACGCACCTACTAGACATATCTATTTTTTTTTTTTTATATCTAATATAAAACATATCTGAAAGATGGCTTCGATTAAATAATCTCTGTTAATTTATGATGATTAATAAAAACTGTTTACTTAGAGAGCAAATTCGTTTGTACGAACCGCGCGCCAAACCAACGAAATAGACTGTTCATTTTCTTATCCACAATATCTTCTGAATGACCACAGTTCTCCCAGATATCCTGAAGTCGAAGTACGCTCTTACTGCATGAGTCGACATAATCGGTGTATCTAAAAACAAAAAAATATTAATTCAGTATTAGTTCAATGCTCCAAACGCAGCTTAGTATTGAGAAACGTCCATAACCCACAACGTTAATTGTATCGCTGGGTTGATTTCGTCGTTCGACCAACTATTTTTTATCTACCTAAATATAATAATCTTCTGGATTACTAAGCTAATTTCTCTGCGCGAATAATTAAGTTGAATCGCATTAGAAAGGCCCTAGAACAGCATAGTTACTCGAGTTAGTGATGTAACAATGAGACATTCGAAAAAATAGAGAGAGAACAACGCCATACAATGACAGATATCGAGCCGGTACGAGTCGAGTAGCACGTGCTGTCGCCATAGTCACAGGAGAAAGGGTGATGGAACAACCGGTTATGATGTCCTAGTCTCCTGAAGAATAATCAATTACTCATCAGTAAAATGCACGAATTTTATCTACGCCAAATTTAGATCACAAGATCCGATTAGATTTTACACAACCACTAAAGCATGCCGTGTTCCGAAATGTAACTACCTTACGATGACGAATGTCGATAAGCTGCGGATTGAGAGATAACCTGTATCGCGTACTTCTTGTTTTACCATCGCGCACGCAATTCTGCACGTGTCCCGACACATCATTTGCGCGTCGTCTACTATTGATCTAATCCGCGTAGTCAAAAGAAAACATAAATGTCAGTCTTCTTCTGAGTTAGTTGGTTCGTATTGAACACTTCGTATTGAAATTAAAAATAAAGCTTGAAAAACAGTTGTAAAAGCCAACTGTTTTTCTATTTGAGATGGAGAACTCGAAGCCTAGGTTACATGCTTAGAGCATTTGCCATTAACTCATGCTTAATGGTCTGGCAAACTATGTGACCTATTCCGCTCTAAGTTGAACTTCATATTGACCAATTCGGACCTTGCCAGCCTATCAGAAAGCCGCTTGACCCTTAATTAAGGGTCATAAATCTTTTTCGTCGCGTGTGTCCATTTGCTGTTAGTTGGTAGCTTCATTAGTTTTCACTTCTGTGAGTGTTACCCTAACGTGATAACACCTTTATTTCATATCTTCCTTTCTACGAAATCCTATATCCTACACACTTGCGTGAGATTATAGTCCGTGTAAAACTGCAAGGTTCGTAATGAATCATCGCCATAATTTGAATAAAACAAGTAGTTACTTAACATTTAATGCTGTTTATAAGAAAAATAGGCGAGAATAAGAGAATACAGAGATACGCTCCTGTCATGGTAAACCTTACATGCGAAACATGTAGTAGCGACGTTCTAATCTTACCTCCGTGATACGGATTGTAAATGTGGTCTGTGAGCAACATCTGTTGCGAGTAAAAGCTGGCCATCAATAATCATTTGTAAGGCTTAATTCATGTAGGACACACTCAGTGAGCAATAGAATACACGGAGAATACCTGAACAATTTTGCCTACTGCCGGCTGATTGTTTGATTCGACGAGGAATACGACGCACGCATGTTCATATATAGGCGAACTCATGTTATTTCTACTCTTCTATTTCTTCAGATAGCTTCTCATATATATATATATCTATATATCCCACGGTATTTTTCGCCAATGGCTTATTATTAAGAATGTCTTTTTTGTTCAACCTGTAATTAAAAATTAACAACAACGCATTGGACTGAAACCTTCAATACGCTTGGAGATATAATACAAAATCGATTTTGACCCTCGCATATTTCACCATTTAAAATTTCGACCTGTTTTTATTATTCAATTCTTCCATTGGCCGAAACCTTTTGGCACGACTAGACATTGAAGTTAGTTCTCGTTTTACTGGATTTTTATTCAGTGAAGGTACGAGCTAGAACCCCAACTTACGAGCAGTTCAACGGTATTGTGATCTGCGATGATGTACGTTATCGGCGCACTTAGAGTTGAATCGTTTTTTATAAATTTACTAACTCGATCAACACACGTGCGTAACACTAACACTTAGTTATTTAGTAAACACATTTGTTCGTATTTTAATCAATGGCGAAGAAAATCGATGGTTCTTATGCGATGCGGGGTAAGGAAAATTGGACAAACGCGTACTCCACATTTTTTTGTAACAATCGAATTACAAAACGAAAAAAATCAAAAGCTATTTCATAATACTTGTTAGTTAAATGGTTTGATAATGAATAGTGTTATTTGTTACGTGAACGTGGGAAAGCTGTCTATTAGTGGCCTCAGAATTTACTACGTACTTTTTTGTATGTTACCTATATGTCCTAAGAATGAGTGTGAGCTTCAATAGTCAATTGCAATCAGAAGTGGTCAACGAAAAAAATCAGAAAGTGCAACGAAAAAAGTTTCGCTGCAAAATGTTTGTCGCAATCACGGTTGGGGTCACGTTTGAAACGGATTTTTCACTCAAAAAATATGACCGTAAATGTTCGCCTTGTAGTAATATCGACATCTGCCACATCGTAACACTGTCCTTTTTTCCATTGTTATAACCATCACTATTTTTGTTATTGGTAACAGGCAGAATAAAAAAGGACCGACCGCCCGCCCTCCGTAATGATCTGCTCCGCTCGCAAGCAAGATCATCTCCTCAAATGATGAATCTACCGACTGGATCCTGCCATTGCCGCCGCCGATGACGACGATGACGACGACGACGACGACGACGACGACTGATTCTCGACTGTCATAGCAACGTACGAAGTTTCGCAGCAGCAACATTAGCCGAAGCAGACTACAGCATTGACTGACTGACCGACTGACGACTCGATTGTTCGTTGGCTGTCTGAGTCGCTACCGCTGCTACAGCGGCTGACTGGCTGTCGTAGTCGCAGTAATTGTAGTATCGGGTCGGGCGGTCTATCTACCTGCCTCTTGGACGGTGCTGCTACTGCCCAGTGTCTAACTAATGGCTGTGGTGGCTGATTGTTCTAATTTTACTGCAGTGCTGCAAATAACAACATATATACTAGGAAAAAAATCGCCGAAGAGTCATTAGTTCTCAGTGTAAAATCGGCCGTCGTCTTGATCGGCGATGTGTGTGTGAATGCCTCCATGTATTAGCAGCAGCAGCATCGTCGGCCGTAGACTACACACACGAAAGGCGAACGGTAACGAACGTCGTCGTCGACAGCTTAACAACAACACGAGTGGAAATCGTCGTAGTAGGAGAGAAGTCGGAGTGTACCGAGTGGTTTACTGCTTTCTGATCCCCGATCTGACTAGTTTTGCTGCTGCTGGAAGTGTCATTCATCTCTCCTGCGTGTCTGTGTGTGTATGCGCATTGTATGTAGCAGATACAGCCACGGCAGCAGGTAGCAGTGATTGCATCGGCGGCTTTCGTGGTTTGCTAGTGCTGTTTCGCTGGTGCTGCCGGATCAAGGACCGAACCGCTCAGTCTCCTCGGTCGTTCACTGTGAGTAGCGTTGTATCTAAGAAGACAACGGAGAGGACGACGACGAAGGCAACCGCTGGAAAACGAACGACTGACTGACCAAGCGAATTCGGTCGGTCGGTCGGTCGGTCGGTCGGTCGATCGATCGGTCGGTCGGTCGGTCGGTCGGTCGGTCGGTCGGTCGTTCGTTCGTTCGTTCGTTCGTTCGTTCGTTCGTTCGTTCGTTCGTTCGTTCGTTCGTTCGTTCGTTGCTTGCCTTTGTAGTAGGGTCATGCTGGCGCAAAAGCTTACTCATTGTGGACGTCGTGAATTGCCTGTATAACTAGGCTTTGGCCGCTGTATCGCTGCAGTCGTATGTGACTGTGTTGGTATCGCCGTTTTGCAAGGAGCTCAGCAACAGCAGTAGCAGAAGGCCACGGATGACAAGTGGCGGTCCCTCTAATCTATTTCACTAGCTGTGTCCAAGCGAGTAAGTGAGGCAACACGAAGAATCATCGAGTGGAGTACGACGAGTGGCCTGCAACAATATAGCAGGAGGATTATTGTTGACTAGGGGAACAAGGACGACAACACGAATTGCTTCAAGGGCGCACACACGCACGTCCCGCTTAGCTTCCATCGGTCCTGTGAGTTTCTGTTCTATTAATTCTACTCGTACTTACAGTTCAGCTACTGTTCCGTATCGACTAGCATAACTTGAGTTGATACAGCTCCTACGAATGGTGTTTTCCACTTCGACGAGGGTATGTGAGTCGATGTGAGAACCAGGTGAAGATCTGTCCATGTGTGTTAACAGGAATTTTTTTCGTCCTTCCGCAACTCTGTTCAGCTTCCCGTATATCGACCAAGTTGGCAAAATAGTCGTATGTTGCCACTACCAGCAACGATACGACAAAGTGAACAATACGTACGAGCACAACATTGTGTGAACCCGCCTGAAAAGATCCGCCAGCCTCTTAGCTTTGATTACAGTAAAGCTCGCGATGATGGTTCCGAGACGACAACGTCACACGATGATAATCTGTTCCTACCTAACCAAGAGCAGCAACAACGGCTGCCGCTGTTACTGATATAAGACAGAAAGCTTGTCAGTGGGTCAGACATGGCTTGTTCATCGACACTATCTAGTTAACTGAACTCAAATTCTGTTCGATCAGTGTTAAAGTTTGCTTGTCATTGTCCTACCTGTCACTTTGATATGTATCAATGCTGATTCACGGTTAGCGCGATATTCGGCCACTGGATTTCTAGGGACGAATAAATAAAGGTATAGTGAGTAAAAAGCGAAACTATCTAACGTTTGGCAAATTGTCTTACTTCGTCCCGTCACCAATGACACATCACCCTACAACATTTAAATCGTTCTCTAGCCCGTCCATGAGACTAATTCCACGTGCTGTTCAGTCTTATGATAGGCAAGATAGTAATTTTAGAGCTTTAGAGCTTTAGAGCTGGAATGTTCATCGCTAGCCCCCATTTAGGCAACTTGCTTACTCGATTTCGCTTTCCCGCGTGTTGTCCTCTCCTTCATGCTCTCTATATGGAAACAACTTAACTTCCCCGTATCCATTTTCTCTATTAGCATAACTATATTAATGTGTGCATCCATTATTATATTCGATGGCCGTATTGGCTATTCTATTTGCACCGGGTAGTATCATCTCAACTAACACCCTGTTAATGATGGCAGCAGTAATAATAATCATGAAGCTGTGAAAATCATCTTGGAAACAGCACGAGTGCATCGATACTGTGTCCTCTGTCGGAGCAGCAGACGCTGCTGTTTACTGATAAGTTCGGTCGGGATAGTGATCGTTTGCAAGTAGTGGTAAACAGTTTCGGTTTTGTGCCTTCCCAACTTCTTTTACTGGTCTGTTGTATTCTATGTGTATTCGAGTCTACGGGTGTGTCAGGCTTTTCCGATGCTGGTAACGACGGTGCTGTTTTTTTTTTTTGGTGCTGCGACGGAGGCGGCCGCCGCAAAAGCCTCAGCAACTGATTATGCTGCTGATGCCGTCGGCAGTATTTGTGTTACATTATACCCTATCGTAGCGTCTATGCTGGATGGTGCTGCTGCTGCTGTCGCTCCTAACGCTGCTGCTGCGACTGCGGCCTCTTGGCACGGTGGCGCCAGCTACCGACCAACGAGAACCGATGGTGTGCCGCTTGCCGGCGAGTGATGGTAGTGTCCATTGGTCTGCCCGTTTTCATCCATTCACTGAGACCGCTGTATGAGCCTTTGCTTTTGCTGCTGCTATTACAGCCACTGCCGCTCGCTGAAGAACAGCTGCTACCGCTGCCCAGCCGAACAGCACGTTGCTACACGGCCTCATATCGCCGCCACCGCAGCAGCAGCATCTAATGCTCACCGATTTGTGCTTGTTTGTTGCTTTGCTGGAACTGGCAGACAGTCAGGCTTGCCTAGCCGACCGACGGCCGGCCGGTCGGCCTGCCTGCCTGCCTGCTTGCCTGCCCGCCTGGGTGCGTGCGTGTCTATTGGCTTGGCCATTAACAGAGTGTGGTGGCTTGTTTTAGTTCCTTCCTGGTGGCAAGTGGTTGTGATGTTTCTGCTCTTACTGCTTTTGCATTGGGGGCTGCAAGCGGCGTAGCTGCCGCTACCGTTGATACTAATGTAAGCGTCAGGTCGCGCCGCATTCAGCATTGGCCCAACAGGACAACAGGACAACGGTACAGTTTGTCTTGTTCATACTATCTCGACGTTTGTTAAACGTCGTTGTCTTTGTAGTATACGTAACGTCCAACGTAGTATACGACAGGGTCGTCTCGATTTACACTCACGCCTAGTTGTTTTGTGATCCGCCGCCATTGTTTACATCGATATATCAATTCTGGAGCGTTACGTTATGCTATCCTATTGCGGCGTAGCTACCGCTGCTGGTAGTAGTTATTTGGCTTCTGCTAATATGGTATTTATAATTCTATTTTATAGAAGCTAGACACGTGATTCTAATACAGACAGGTCCATGTTAAAATGCTGCGAGGAATACCTCTGTTAAGAAACTAAACGAACATCAAAAGCAACATGTCAACAGAAGTTCAGCATACAACAACACTACCATATAGCCGTTGCAATCATTGTGGACTGATATTTCTTTTCAAGCCAAAACGCTTTCGCGCACAGATATAAGTAGACACATATTAAGTCGACATTTTTTTGGGTCGCGAGCACACGAATTGTTCATGTACTATGGATGTTATATTCAGCTGTACTGATAGATGTGTTCTTGCCTTTTCATTACTTTGGCCGAACAATGAGTTTATCCTGTGCTTTCCGTACCTCAGTTCATTAATTTTTTCATTTTTACGCCTATCGTGTTGTCACTTTTCGCGAAACCGCGCTCGTACCTGCCATGGCAATTATTTCAGGCAGGGATGAAATGTTGAAAAGCATCTCATTGCGATTTTTTAACGCTTTTTGCATAATTGATATGACCAGTTGACATAGCTAAAGTTGGATTCATTACTTCGGATAAAGAACGTGCAACTCGGGAAGGATGTACGTCCTTAGCCAAATACTATACGTAGATGTAGGTCAAAGATGCGTGTGGTCCGTCGCCGCAGGGCTTTATCGGCCAACCTGAGATTATACTGTGGTGTCGTTACCTGCCTAGCAAAAGCTATAACCGCACATGACAGCAAGGTTTCTGTTATTGGCCCTACTATTATAACTCCGCCAATCAGTCAGTCGTCAGTCAGTCATATAATATGCCTACTGCCTTGAGCCATTGACAACTACAGTCGACTACAGATTGCTATTGGCACTGTTACCTATTTATCATTCTCGGCTCCGTTGCTAACGATAATACAGTAAATGACAGTCGAATAAGACCTTTTCGTCAAACTGGTTGATCGTTGTGCAGAACTTAAGGCATCACTCCAATTCTCGATCTATCGACAAATCTCTGAGTAGTCTAGCTACTCAGCAGCCCTTCTTTGAAACAAGATCTTCTGCGTCTCAACTGGCCTTCGAAACAAGTTATAATGTTCTAATCGTCAAAAATGTTCGACACGATTTGGTACCTTCCACAACGAGCATCTTGTTTTGGTGGATGAACTGAATGTGGGCAATAATGGGTTTTTGGATTTTACGTAACGGTTTTACAGGGACGTAACAGCTGCTTGTGCTGTTGTCGTTGTTTTCGCTGTGTATGTTGTTACGACGCAGGTGTGATTTGTTTTAATTAAAACTGACCAATCCAATACGAGCTTGATGGAACGGAAGATCATCTTTAGATTCAATGGAGTCTGTCAAAGATTGAATCGAGACTGTCCACTACGTACAGAAGCTTCTATTTAACTCCATGTTGTTGACTATGGCATTCGACCAGTCGCCTTTATTTATTTTGTATTTACTTGCAAAGCTATTTCATGCATTAACGCTTGTTAATAAATAAAATTAAATTGAGGCACAGTATAGTAACGTTATTGTCCTGGGGTTATTTTTACACTTGGAAAAGCAAACCGTTTCATCATATGCTGTGTGGAAGCACCTCGTTCGACTACTATGCTGCCAATGAGGAAGCGCTTTCAATGAGGATACAGTTCGGTGAGTTCTTTTCGTCGGCCTAAAATCCTTGCTATAGAGTTGTGTTTACCCTCGTAACAAAGCTTTTTGTGTAAAACAAATCCCTTTTCGTAGGACGTGCTTTCGTCTGCAAGATATCACTGCGTAATTGTCTGATACGCATAATATTATGGAAATGATCGGTGTATATGTCTCGAAATAGGAATCGGACGGTTCAAGAGCCACTGTTGTCACGCGCTCAATTATGTGCGACACAGGTGAGAACTCGCTGGTGGGCACGCGTACTGTTAGTTTCATGGTTCTTGGCTGAAACGATATTTTCACATAGCAACGTTTCACATAAGCAGAAACAATTCAAAACGGACAAGATAATGCTTGTTTCGGTAAAGACACGAGGCCGTTGAGCTCAGGAACGTAACCCTGTACATTCGATTTGCAGGGTATGATCGGTTAGTGAAATTCGCCGATCCTGCATTATTCGAAATAGTAGTATCGCATAAAGCAGTGGTCTGAGTCACGTAAAAGGTTCCCATAGGGTTTGTGGAACAACTTGTATATTCACTACCAGGCGCATTATTTAGTGAACAATTGTTATGCCGGACATAAAGTGCCATAAGATATATTGTCGTAATGAATTCGATTCGACTGTCAGCCGGAACGGAATTAGTATCGGTCGACAGTCTGATTTTGAGCTTTACTTGCACCTCCACGTATACGTACATGCGTGCGTGGCATGGCTTGTGACTTGTTATTACTATTCTATAGCAAAATATTTTGGCGAAACCGTGTTTTTTTGCAGACCGAGTCGAATTCACTACGGATGCTAGAAACATGACATGTCTCACCGACTTACTATGCAGTTAAGTTTTTGTTTTTGTTTATCTTTATCCTGAAGAAAATTTCTTCATTCGATACGAAATATGAAGCTCAAATGAGACCAGACGTAATTAACCGATTGAATGTGACAACAATCGTAAAACCTTTCAAAGAGTTGAGTATGTTACGCGGAGCTGCTTTTAGCGAAACAGTCAGTAGTTGATATAGTGGTTTAGCTATCATTAAAGAACGTCGGCCGGAATCGCAAAAGAAAGAGTTGCCAATTACGTAATTTAAAAATCGTATTTATTCCTGAAATTCTAACACTATGCCAATTTTCAGACTGGGCGAATCTAATGAAATGCACGACTAAATAAAAGGGAAGAAAGGCCTTATCGAAACCTATTTCACCTAAATAGCTTCGTCGATCTTTGTTAATTAATTATAAATACAATATTAATAAGGTCCGACTATTGGTACAGACGAAAATCTTGCAGTCATTTCATCCGTCCTTAACAGCCACCGTTCAAACTTCCTGGCTTAAGCTCGAGTTTAGAATGCAACCCCGATGTGGTATATCGACTGACACCTAAACCAGAATGGACTAGTATGTATCAGTAGTTATGCATTTCGTAGACTTTGCTTCTTTTTTTCTTTAACATTTTGGAAAAAGAAGCGTCTCTGTTGGTTTTATTCGGTTTTCTCTGAAGGCGGCTTGCTTCGCCGTAACACAAAGTCTGCCGGAGATAGGATTTTCATCACCCATTAAGGCTAACGCCTATTGTCTCGGCAAGACCTTTTCTGTCAGAGTGTTAGAAGCTGCCCGTTTGGTAGCTGAGGGGGTTGCAATTATCTCAGGCAGTTGATCGCGTGTTACAGTCATTTTTTACTGTAACGTTTCCAACGAGGCCAAATCGCAAATGTAATATGATTTGTAAATAAGTCCTACCTCAACAATTATAGCAAGCGTTATAACTGGATCATTTTATGCTTTCATGATCATGTAGGCGGGCACATCTTGCCAAAGTTGAAAGAAGAATATTGCTTGTGCCTTGTCCCATCTTTCGTGCCAATGTTTATTAGGATGATGTAAAAAAGCCACTATACTACAAGAAAAACAACATTTCCTTGTTGGTGTGTCCGTTTGTACCAAATATGCTTATACACAAGCGACAGTTATCGTTAATAGTCAAATGAGCTTCGATAGTTTGACGACAATGAAAAACATTGAACTTGAACTAATATGAAATACGATGAAAAATTGTATCGTAAAGTTGATATCACATTATCACGATAGAGCCGGTCACCTACCACCATACTGTGAAGCCGCTCGCAGCAACTCTAGCCGAATATTACATTATGGTAAATAAGACCAACGCATCGGCCATACGTAGCAGTATCATGTAATAGTCTTCTCGTAGCTACTCGTTACGACCCGCTCAAGTCAGGAGCAGCAGCGGCGGTACAACTACCCGCAAATGGTAACAACAGAAGCAGCGCAAGCAGTAAATAGCGTGGACGAGTAAAGGCAGTTGGTGAATGGGAGACCTTTCTGTTTGTATCGTACGATCGAGAACTTTAAGCCGCAGCCGGTTCTCCGTTGATGGTACCGCTTCTAACGATGGTTTCTCCTGGTGATTACAGTAGTGGCTGACTGGCCGCTAGTCGCTTTAACGTGCAGTTATGTTTCCCAGCGGCTATCGTGTGGGGACGGCCAACAGCAATAGCAACAGGCATAAAAACGACAGCGGATGTACCCAGCCGTTCGTAGACGACCGTGTGTAAACACTCCGTAACAACTGCGCAAGCTGGTGTGCTGTCGACTCGCCGGTCAGCTGGCTGGCTAGCTGCTCAATACGCCCATTATATATCAAACGTCGTATATACACGGTACGATGCGTGGGCGATCGTAGGCTGAACCAGCGGTGGCGCCAGTGGTTTTCGGTCTAGGTAACGGAACCAGAGGTTAGCGGGATTCTTTATGCTACCGCAGTTCTCATCAATATAATGCAGGACTTTAAGGATGGCCTGAAGCTAGTCGATACACGATTGTAAAGGCATGTTATGTCAACGACCTTTTGGCCTTCGCTTGGGAAGCAGAACTGGACCCGCGTAAAATGCCTGACGATGACTACAAGTTGTTATATATAGCCGAAGATAAGAAAAAATTCTTACATCATTTTGCCAAACTTTTCTACTACTCGGTTTTTTATTGACTAAGCGGCGTAACAAACATCAGTTCCGTCAGTTAATTCAACTCTAATTGTCAATTAACGTTATATTTTTTACGTGCTCAACCAATTTTATAACAGTGACAAGTTAAGCAGCACTGGGTAGAATAGAAAATGATCTTTTCATTGATCCCTGTCGCTTGATGTTGTCGAATTTCCTAAACTCCCTAACGTTACATTTTGTAACTTAGCTTGAATAGATCCTAAGCATGCTACAGAAGCCGTAACCCATTTAATAACTTGCATCATATTCATCGAGTAATTGGCTTTTCGACTGTGGATAAACCATTGCAGCAAGTTTAGGACAATGTTCCCTTTAGGATCCTATTGCTATATTGAATCAGCACATGGCTAAAAAATAAATTCGGAAAAAATCTGCACGTTTGACACATACCGAGCCCGCGATATAGCCTCTACTAACGCGATTACGACTGCGTCATTCAGGTTGGCGTCGCTGAATTCGTGAAACACGGCTGTACGTGTAGTTCCGCGCGTTTCCGAAAATGAACTTTTCGGGCTCTATCAATGAAATTAGTTACTTTACCTCGAGTTACCCGTTACTCTTACCTGCCGGTAGAAACAGTAGGCACATAGCCCGTTGAGCCACGGGCGGATTTTGAGACTCGAAACCACTGTTGAAAGTAGTGAATAGCTTAAAAATTAAGTCAACAAACGTCATGTTGGTCGTCAAGAAGAGAATATTTCAGTAGGAACGGTTTTCCATCATCCATTTATGATCTCAGACTTATTTTGGCAGCAAATAAGTGTGCCAGATGTCAAATAGCAGCCGTTATTCTTTTCACAGTGAATAATTTTTGTTACCTCACCATCTAGGCAGTATTTTTCTCGTTTTTTATGTGTTCCCGTTCCTTTTTCTCCTTTATATTGTAACGTAGTTTATTTTAAGTGAGGCTGAAAACCTTTCTGAGGTTAAGTAGACGCTTAACACGACCGTCAAAATAAGTTACCATATATTCCATTGTTTTTTTTCCCGATATTACGAACTTACGATATTTTCTCCTAGTTACGCTTTAATTTTATAGTGTTTGTATTTGGTATCCTACAGTCTGTAAGATGTATGAAGTATTCTATTACAAAGCATAATAATCTTCCGCACCCCCATTATCTATGTATCACAGTATCTTTTCGTTTTGTCCTTTTGTAGCTTTTTCCTGTAGCTTTCTTAACGGAGCACATGATTATTGTTTGTACCTGTCTCTGTAATTACTCCACACCAACTTTAGAACTAAATTTAATCTAGAGAAACTGAACTTGACATTTCCATGAACTGTCAATACGTTTCCTGTCTTCAATATAAAGATTCCTAAGTGCTTCATTACTAATTTCTGCTTTATTAGCATCCTCAGTCAAGTCTCATATGATGCCTCCGCCAGAGCCTTTCTCATTCAAAAAGTGGAGACACCGAATTCCCCTCAATGAATTGCATTGGACAAGTCAACGGCGTTAAATAGTTTGATGGTCTGTTAGCTGTTAGATGGTATTCTATACGCGTTTTTGATCCTTTTAACATCATTGCCTTAAAAGCATGTTTTTAATAACTTTACACCGCTTAGCCACTCTTTTTGGGGCGTGCTTTATACGAACTTTTCTAATTATTTATTGAAACCAAAATATCGTTACCAATGATAGTTATCGTCACAGTCGACATATTCGGTCTCAGAACCCTACTTACACTTGTACGAAGGCTATGATGGCTGGCGATATTGCTTTGGACAACGCCAAATATGACAACGACCGGTGGCCGGTCTGAAAGACCTTCCAACAGGAAAAAGGGTCATCTGGCCGCTTGCCTACTTGTCTGCGTGCTTACCTGGCGTTTATTTGGCTGATCAGACATTTTGCCGAGTCTCTTGCCTCGCCAGTTAGTTCCACCTGCAGTATGTCGCTGCGACCGATCCTGTTGCTTCGTTCCATCCTTCCCCCTTTATGAGAGTAGATAGAAGAGGATTTGTTGAAAGACAACGCGACGTATGCGCCCTCTGTCGAGACAACCACAAATTAAGTTTCTCTGCTTGGTTCCTTCGTTGTTTAGTTCGTGCTCACTGTTACGAGTAATGGTATGCCGTTGATTTCGTCTCTTAGATCTATGGGAGCATCTGATCGTAGCTATGGCAGATTCGTATTAAGTATGGGGCCACGCATTCTTTATAACCAGCTTGATGAGTAGGCGCACAAACCGGTCGACTATATAACTGTCATTGACGGTGCACTGACGCAAGAAAAGGCCAGAAATAATTGGCATCTCTTGTTACATTACCATGAGCTGCCGATTGTGATACTAAGGAATGATCAGACAAAGGGTCTAAGAAATTGTCATGGGTGATGGTAAGTCCATTGGTAGACTACTTTTTTGAGCGCGATTCCGAAAACTGTAGGTTCCTTGGATATAAACAAGGGCTTGTCGACAGTCTGACTACAAGTAGTAGTCAGCTTTAGTACAGCTCAGAAACTAGTCAGGTCAGATTGTGTCAGTTCAGAGGTTACTTCAGGTTTTTTTTTATTTCTACCTATACCGTCAGGCCTGTGCCGTAGACGGGAGAAGCTGTCTGAATAAAATTTCGCTGGCAAAAGAATTGAAGAATTTAAAGAATAAGTTGTAAGTTCTTATTGGACTAGCTTAGAATTACGACGATCTGATCGTCCTATTAATTTCATAATACGTGTAAGGTTTCTTACGTGGGCATTACTGTGTTAAACATCCATTGGGAACTGAGGGCCTAATGGACGATAGCTATAAATTGTTGCGGGCGCCCTTTAATGAACTTTAACTTGAAATATTGCAAATAAGTAAGCGAATTCGTTAATCGTTGATTGCTCAATAATAACTACCCACGACGCATATCCGAACACACATAAATCTCAGTCAACTGCGTATCGTGCTTTTAAGCCGATTGCGTGCTTAAATTTCATTCGGCATGAAGACCAGCTGAACGAGCGTCGCCAACGGGAAATTGGCCAGTCAAACGGGTAGGGTTAATAAGTCCTTGTAGTTACTCCCTATACTAATCAAATCAAGTCGAACAAATTCGGGTTTTTTTTTTGTTGACGGCAACAAACAAGATTATAACGACATAAAGTACGATGCGACACGACATGAACAGCTGCAATAAATACAGTAATAAAACAAAGGTCAACACTATTTATACATTACTAGAAAAAAGCCAACACTACTAGAAAAGTAAATTCGATGACAAATCGGTTGTGACATGATTCATCCATTAGTTTCTGAATAATCATAATAACCGCTGCATATTTTTTTATCGCATCTCGCACGGAATACTCTAATTAGTGAGAATGAATGAAATTGGTTAACTGCATAACTCCCACATATATATATCTATATGTGCAGCACCCTGTTAAAATATTGCAAATTGACGTGCAGAACTTCCTATTTATAAAGGTGTAGCAAGCAGCGTTTTATCCTTATATTCTCGAAAATTTTGTGTGCGTCGGCAAATAATATATGAGATAGAGTTCAGTCTTCCGGTAGTGAGCAAAGCGAATGCAGGCGACAAACTCAGACATAAGTTCCTATATATGCTGTAGAAACTTTGCCTTCGTTCAGTACTTAAACAGCAGACGCCACAGAGTTGCATTCACTGCAGTAGCAGCAAGGAGTTTCGATTGCACACCGAACGGTTACGACCGGACTGAGGTACTTCACAATCTTGGTTTCAGATCGCCTAATCGTTTAGTCGGCTGTTATATGGTGGAAACGTGTATCTGCAGGGTAAGGTATAATTTTTTCACAGTTTTCTATATATATATATATATATATATATATTTTACAGATGTAAAATAACAACGTAAACTGTCAAGAAACTTTGACTCTACGCAGTACAGTGATGACACTTAGGATCTTTCTGATTTTTTTCCGTATTCTGGCTACGCAGTTACAGGCGATGTGATCGCATGGCGGCCTTTTTCTCCAGAAGATCGCCAAGAGTCTCTTTTACCAGAGGTAGACAGAGGTTATTAAACTATCGTTGCCTCTTTTCGGTACCGCTACCTTTCGCTGGCGATTGGCCGTGAGTGTTGTTGCTGTTACCGCAACGACTTTAGCTAACACACAAGATTATCTTGGCGTCAATGGCGTGAACTAAAAAGGGACTGGAACGAAACGTAAATGCACCGCGACGAAAACGTCAGTGAACGTTAAGACGTCGCTTGTTATTTCCGTATAAACGTTGCGGGTGACAACCCACAACGAGTGGCTGAGATCAGCTAGATGCATCAGCTCTATCCTCTGCCGCCCCGTGGCAGCATTAACCGTCCGTTAGTAACCAACTTGAAGGGTGGCGTACGATGAGGAGATGACTATATTCTCTTCTTGTTAACCGAAATGCAACTAGGCAAATATGGTACAAGCAATGAACGATACTGAGGTGAACGCCAAGCACTCAGTGGTCCGCAAGGTCACTGTCATCTGCTCTTATTTATTGGTATAGTATGGCATTTGCTTGTAACTGATTTTTTAGTTTCAATACATGTCTAGGCGGGAAGTCTTCGTTGATGTCATTAACTCCTCTGACGTCAGTTCCACTGGTCACCATCTGTCTGTAATGGCTACATGTTGGCACCGTCAGGAGAGATACAGCTCTTATGTCAATAAAATTGTTCTGGTATCAACCATGCATACATAGGCAGAAAGTCCAAAGCGTAATTCCGCGAATTGGCGTACACATTCTCATCGTTCCTTTGTTAAATCCTTAAGAAGCAATCAAAAACATGCAGTTATAAAACTTGAAGCTGGCGTGACGCTACCATAGACGCCCGTAGACCTGCGTGTGAATATATACTACCCATTGTGTTTGTCCTATCGTCACTCCATTTTCTACCTGACATGGCGGTGTGAAACCGTTCTTAATGCTAATAGTTGTTGTAATTACTCTAACATCGGTATGAATAACAATGAATCATTAGCTGCGCACACGGCACAAACTATTCACAGGCCTAGAGTAGAAACGAAAAAAAATTATTTTCGAACCTGCTTATGACGCCTGAAGAATGTTCTGTACAGTTCTGTACATTGCAAAAGTCTAGCAAAGTTTAGAATGAATAATCGTATTAAAACACATCATCCGACAGGTTGTTCAGAAGTAAAGGGCAACTACAACACAGATCCACACATCGCGGTCCGCACACGCAAGACGCAACCGTTGTAACGGTGAAAGTATCGATGAACACATGACGCAAACTAATGCTGGATGGGTCTTTTAACCAAATGTTTATAGTACTGCACGTTTCACAAATACAGACGCCCGATCCTAGTGGCAGTAAAGAGCAGGATCTGACTTCGGAATCGGAGAACAAATGTTCGAATCCCTCAATCAAACATGTGACTGGTTTGATGTTAGTAAATAAAAAATAATAAGTGGTCTAAGATTTATTTGTATAGAAATTCAGATTTTACGTTCACCAAAGGCTAGCTGGAATATCGTGGCCCGTCTCTCTACAGTTATGATCATCATTCAGTGTCCAACACATATTCCAAGGAATCGTTAGCAGACAGATGAGTGCCCACCCCAATTTCAGTGCCTGAATCCACATTGCCTGACGTGTGTTCTTCTCAAAACTGCGGAAGGTTTTATCTTGGGGTGGCTATAAGCGACACAAAAATCACTTGGTCGATTTTCACTAGCACTAACAGACATATTTAAAAAGATGTGTTAGTTATTTTTTTAAACACTATAAATTCTTAATCTTTTCTAGGGCGTTGCTAGTCGGCCCAATACACGATAGTATTATATTTCAACATAAAATACTTCGTTGGAACATAACACTATCGCAAATTCTAACATAGTTTGTCAATTCAGTTTTCAATAGCAACGCATATAGCTGAACTATAGTTATCTAAACGTGAAACTGGACCTTCGGGTTGGTTCTGATTCCGGAAAGGCAGTCCACACTGCAATCTATGGCATAATAAGGCAAATATCCCTGGACGGCTTGGAAAAGATGATTTGTGTTGCACGCCTCTAACCCTATACGCATATATATATATATATACATACTGTGTATAGGGTGAAGCATCTACATATACGAACTCCTTTCTGTGAGTTTTTCTGAAGACTGTATCTACACAAAAACAGATAGAGGTGTAGTTTTTGACTATCATGCTCGCGAATCACGATTCGTCACGATTATTCACAGCGGTTTTAGTCGGTGACTCAAACTACGAACCAACAAAACAGCAATCGCTTTTTTATTAACAAATTACCTTACCATGACTCAGGCGATATTCATAAGCGTAGACATTTTATGCACTACAAGTTTTCATGGAACCAAACTTGCAAAGCTAAAACTCCCTAAAATGTAAAGCCTTGGAACGACAGAAGAAAGTCCATAAGGCGCACAGAGCCTAAAAAAGTCTAAACGGTGAAACCTAGCTAAAACTCCCTAAAATGTAAAGCCTTGGAACGACAGAAGAAAGTCCATAAGGCGCACAGAGCCTAAAAAAGTCTAAACGGTGAAACCTAGCTAAAAGTTTCAATTGGCAGTTGATAGCGTGTTTATCTCTGTAAACTGGGCATACTATCAGCGTCGAATGTAAAAGGACCATCAGCATTAAATATGGAGCACAGTTCTAGTGGCATTTAAGAGAATGACTCAAAGGCCTTCATGGCACCTAGGAACACCTCCTGCGAATGACGAAAAAATCGGCAAATGTGAACCGTACAGCTCGTGTAATTCTCGGTATGATGTTGCTTAATATACACTAGTAATGCTGAATTTTAATGAGGATGATTAGAAAAAACAACGGCTTAATATATGTTATTCCACCCTAGCCGCTTGACGTCTCGTAGAGCTGCGCGCATTATGCTATTCACTGTAACTGGTATTGTCGCGTTAAATCGCGATTTCTTCAAAGTTTGATCGTGATGATCAATATCACGGAATATCACATTCATATTAGTAGCAGTACTATTGTCATCAACGGTCGCGCTGATCGATCGTTTTATCATAGTGTAACCTCGACCAAAGGAGGGATCGCGGCCGCCTCGATTTGCCTCCAAGTTTTTCTACGGGTACGTCTTCTCCGGCGTAGACTATCTAGTATCGTATCGGTTGCACCCCGTGTTGATGATCCGCCCCGTTATTATGACCTCCCTACGAATGAAACAGCCCGGCTATCCAGAGGGCCAGCCGACCTGACTGCGTTCTGTTGCGGGCGTCGTCACAGACGTTTTCATCAGTTTTGAAGCCTCCGCAGACTTCAGCCGACTACGTAAAGGGTTCCGCGTTGCTTAATTATTCACCAGTGGATGAGTGGTATGACAATGACGTGTTAGTTAATACAATATTGATTTTCGTTATGTCGTTACTGCCAGCGTCGGTACGCTGGAGCAGTGTTTGCATATCGCGCCTGCCAGTCAGCCTGAACCGATGAGTATTACGAAACGCTACAACATTCAATGTCATCTCTCGCTATGTTAAATGTCTAGTAGACGTTAAGTAACAAGGGACGCCAGTCAATATTTATGCGTGTTCTACGTATCCACTAATTTTATGTAGGTCCAACCATATTTTGGTGCACTATAATCTTCGTCAATGTCGTCATAGTTGTCAGGTGCAACAGTTGCAGCTGACGTTGAATAAGTTATTTTTGCATACATAAAATCCATCGGGATATATTCAATTGAAGCATAAGATAGAAGTTTCACAGAACCAGTATCGGTAGAGTTGCTTAGCGGCTAAGTCTCCAGCTGAAAAAGGCTCGCCGTGTACACCGCCTTGATCTCCAACTTTTCTTGCTTTGTAACTTCCTCTACGCAATATAGAGTTTACATACAGCCAAAACATGACTGGTCATTTTTTGAGGTGTTTAGGAGAGTCGATTGTATAAGGACCACTTTGATCCTATGGAACTGTTAGTTTCATTCTCTCACAAATTCACTATTTGCGAGAAAAACGGAAATTTACACATTCGCCGGTGTTTGCTTACGACAAATTATATGAAGAGGAATTACAATGCATCCGATTCGAATCAGATAATAACGTTATGATAATGTTACAGGAGTCGACCACGGATTTGTCGAGACGTTAGGGGGTAAGGCAATCCGATAACGAACGACAGCGTATAGTTCGATGCTCGGTGGTTAAACCAGTACTGCTACCGTGACATTATTAACTTCAAGCCAGAAACATAGGAAAGATACTGAAGGTCTTCGGTGTCACAAGCTGTTGGCCAATGACAATGTTTGCCAGCCCTTGATGTTCACAGCGTAGTAATCATTGGTGCCCTGATTACCGACCTTCGTGCGTCTATATTTCATCTTCGTTTCCGTGAGTTGGACAATTCTTTTTCAATATTAGAGTAACCGAGCGGCAGGGACGGCGGGCGACTTCGAGAAAATAGACTTCCCCGGTCCTCAGTCGGTAGCAGGAAACCGAAGCTGACCGAGGTAACGAAGTCGAAAAAACAACGTCGGAGACAAACGAACACATGGGAAAGAGTCACTATTGAATCACTATCGATTCCCTCAAACGGCTTCTGAGATTCGATATCATTCTGGACGAGAAGCGATATTGCCGCAAAAGGCTCCAATATGAATGTCAATGTTCAGGGAATCCGGCGCAACGTTAAAAACGTTGTTCGGAATTACACCGACGCACAGGTTTGTGATAGTTAAGGAAGAGTCCATTAGGCTTTGCTGACTCACTATTTTATTTCTATTTTATAAATCGTATGTTCGTGCTTTTTTTTTTTTACATAAAAACAATTCGACGACGACTAAAGTTTAGATAGAGTTGTAACATACGTGTACACAATTAAGTTTCTTATTTGCAATATACATTTATCTTGACGTGGTTTCTCTATTCAGCGTAGAACGCTAAACCTTTTTGCTGATCATAGATAAAGGACTAAGGAAGAAAGAAGCAGCATTTTTTAATATTGTAACTTGCATTTTTGAATTGCTGTGCTGTGACTATTTAATTGTGTGTCTTATCGATAGCTTTGACAATAAAGTGATTAGTTATCTTACTCAGATGTTTTCCTTGTAGACCATTTTCTACCGTTTTTACCGAGCACGGTTATTGCGCTTGTTTTCTAAACGTTCCTTCTCTGAACCTTGCCAATTTTTTGACACATTTTCAGGTGAAGGTTCGTGAAGCAACTTCGAATGACCCCTGGGGGCCACCGTCGGCTCTCATGGGGGAGATCGCAGATTTGTCATACAATGTTGTAGCGTTTACGGAGATCATGCAAATCATTTGGAAAAGGTGAACAAATAAAGATGGCTGATTCAGGCGGCAATCTAAATAACAATGTCCAAACGTCTGACTTCTTGATTCCGATGTGCAACATTCTAATTCGCAATTTATTACGACAAAATAGGGATTTATTGACATGAACTCTGAAATTTCTTGAAAATCCACACGAAACTAATAACTTTGCAAATACGATGATTGATCCTTTTTTGCCAGCTAAGATGTGCGCTTTAAATTCTATTAAATTTAACAATACACGTTACAAAAGATTCAATCTGGTCTGATCATCTAGTCTGAGCGATACTGTTCGACAAGAAGGGTAACACTACTTAGAGTATACTTAAGTATGATGAGAATAATAAAATTAAACCTAAATCACTGTATAAGCTGCACTAGCCTAGATCAGCACCTAACTGTTAGGTCCACGTAATTGTTAGTAATATCTCTCTTTAGATGTTAATTATTGTGTGATATCCCTTGTATCATAAGGTTAAACGATAATGGAAAAAACTGGCGTCACGTATACAAAGCATTGGTGCTGCTTGAATATTTGATCAAGGTTGGAAGTGAACGTGTGGCCACTCAATGCAAGGAGAACATATTCGCCATACAGACCCTAAAAGGTTAGTTTCCTTCTTATCCTATTTTCCAATTATGCTCTTTATATACGATACAGAATTGGTGGTGCGCCATGCTGTATTATTATATAAAATGTGTTACGGTCGTACAAGTATATACGTGCTTCGGGAATACCACAACAGTTCTTCTATTTCTGTAGTCATTTACCGAAAAAATATCCTGTTTTTGAGCTGCTTCAGTTTAACAGACGATTTTATATAAAAAACAGAAGAAAAATAACAGGTTAGCGGCGCACATCTAAAAATGAAATATGTCCAGGGAATTTCCAAGCCAAGAAACGTCTGTTTCCTATCTAGAATATTGTAGACATATTAAAAATGACTTCTACTTACTCGGCTAGCCATGCAGACTCAGTCACGTGGTGTTAAGCAACAGAAGGCTCTCCCACAGGATATTTGAGCTAGCTCTAATCTTGTCCTATTTGAAGTGAGGCTTAAGTAAACAAGTAACTGATATAGCAAAACCTATTTTGTAATAGAATGCACGGACGATGTGTATGTATTGATTACATATGGAAAACTATAGAACCATTATTGATCGAAATTATAACAATAGCATAGATTCTAATAATCACAATTACAATTTTTTTAACATGAAAAAGATTTATTTCAACAGTAGAGTTTCACCTGTTTGGCGGTATTTCTCTATCTGCAGATTTCCAATACATGGACGACAATAAGGATCAGGGTATGAATGTACGCGAAAAAAGTAAACAGCTTGTCACTCTGCTCAAAGACGACGAACGGCTGCGCCAAGAGCGAGCTCGCGCTTTAAAAGCGAAGGAGCGTTTCGCGCAGAACACTAATACCGCGAGCTCCTCTCATGACGCTATCGGTAAGCCCTCGGAGCAGATTTAGATTTGAATAGACGTTGTTGTCTATTCAGATATTGTTATATTTAAAAGTATCACATTGCTTTCGTTTAACAGAAAAGGGCATCGAAAAAGTCAGCTGCTCATACATTAAATTTAACCTAACGAAAACAATGAAGGCACTCATTGGACGAACGAATTGGATGGATGTTCGCTATATAAACAATGCAGGCGCAGATCTGTTGGTACGTGCACGTATTCGACAGCGAACCAGATCTTGTAGCTTGGATCTATACCTGACCAGGTCGTAGTAGTTATATAAACGTATTTTTTTAACATAAAAACGTATGATTTTTATTCGTGTGTCTTTGCTACGGGCAACTACTTGGTCTGGTTCCTGAGGACAGGCGGCGGCAGCGGAGGCGGTGGAACTGGCTATGTCGATGATTTATCTTCTCCACGCGGTGACTATCGATCTGTATTAGCATCCAGTTCAGAGTTGGAATCAGCGCGGCCTCAGACGGCCGGGGAGGAAGAGCTGCAGCTTCAACTCGCTCTGGCTATGAGCAAGGAAGAGGCCGAACAGGAGGAACGGCAACGCAAAAACGATGACCTGAGGTATCGTATGATACTCTGTGATACATAGATAGTTTTTGAAGCCACGATAGTTTGAAGTCGTTCTAAGTCCATGACTTCTTTGTTGTTGTTGTTCTGCTATCGTTTCCCCTCAGATTGCAGATGGCCCTGACGGAAAGCCAGCAAGATAATGTCAAGCAAGGCGGCGCCACCGCGTCAAGCGGGGCTTTCTCTGCTTCTAACGGTTCAGCTGCGTCATCGTCCGCGCCGAAAAGCTGCATGGATGATCTGCTTGGACTGAATCTTGCTGGACCCACAGTGGCGCCCGCACAGTCCGCCGATCCGTGGGGTTTGCCGGCTGCCCAAGCAGCAGCAGCAGCCTCTCGACATATCCCGGGCTCACAGGTGGTGGATGCTATGTCCGTGCCTCTCGTTGGAGCCGTCGGCGGAGCCGGACCCACTGGAACTGTTGCTACTCCACGTGGAGCTGTTGGGGGGGCCGTAAGCGGCGTCGATCCGTGGGCGCCAGCTCCCCCAGTGGCTGTTGATCCCTGGGCTCCACAACCAGCCAGTTCACTTCCTTCGGCCGCCCCAGTCCTTGATCCATGGGCTGTAAACGGTTCGTCTGGAGGTGTTTCAAAAGGCGAACTCGACGAGTTTGACCTGATCTCGAGACAGCGAGCCGCCAACATGTCACCGTCAATGATAGCCCAACTAGGCGGCACCAATGGCAGCGCTAGCCAATCGCCGGCATTCGATATGTCTGGCCTAGGTGGCGCTTTGCCGAAGAACAGCAGCGCAGTGGCTGGACAAGACAGCCGAATGCGAAAAACGCCCGAATCTTTCCTCGGCGCTAATAGTAATCTCGTAAACCTTGACGCGCTAGTTACGGCGAAGCCAGCAGCGCCGTCCGCTAACCCTTTCGGCACCGGGATGCCCGCCGCTACCAGTCTGCTCAATCCGTGTCCGGCTCCTCAGCAGAACCCCTTCCAGGCATTGAATAAAGCTCCCACAATGAATGAACTTCGTGGCGGCCCTACGGGGGCCGTTTTCGAAGGTTTCGCCGCTGGTGCTCCAACCCGAACAACACCTACGCCTGGCTCAGTAAACCCGTTTCTGTGAGCAAAATAACACTCAGTCGGAAATAATTTTCTAATTGTAATTCTGATATCGTCGTCTAACTATGTCATCTGTTAGATCGTTTCAGTGAATACAACACTTGTATCAGGGTTTTCCTCCTTCGTTCAGTCTTGTGATTTCTGCCATACGGCTCCGTTCCAACTTTCCACTTGCCACTCGTTCAACGCTTGCTGCAACGGTGTGGTAGTCTCATAAATTTAGTAAATACTAAACACTAGATTATAATATAACGAATTGATTATAAACTGACAACCAAAAAAACCTGCAACAAAGCACTTTTGAGCGAGTGGCCGAGTCGACAGCATTATCCGAAAGGGACAAAATCTGAAAGCTGAGCTGAAAAGGCAGAAACCGATCTAAGTGGACGGTGTCAATATAGAGGTGGGTTAGTGGTCGTAACAAAGCAACAGTCCTGATTGCTGCTACTACAACTAAGCCATTAGCTAAAAGAACCACAACGACAGCGTACATCAATAGCCACTTGTCACTCCCAGTGGCGTCGTAGTTCGTTTCTCTTTACGTCGATGTCAATCACGTAACAAAACAAACATGTAACCGAAATGTCGGACACCCTTTACTCGGCTGTAAAATGGGGCGACCCATTTTAGCGGCCGTACTTATAGTTTTCAAACGTTTTGGGCAACATTTCAAGTTTTCATAATCTCACGCTTCATAATTTTGGTCCAAAATTCATTTTGGGCTTTGAATCAACCATGTTACTAAAATGTCAACAATCGATGAACCCACGGCAGAACATAACTAAACCACCGATAAATAAGGATGACGGTAAACCACTAACGAGGTGCTGCAACATAAAAGTAATAAGATTCATCGTAATAGTGATATATAATATAAAAATCTAACTTAAAAGTAACATTTTATGAATGACAGTGATAATTTGAGTCACATTCAAGCACAGATGCATCTTTTGCAAACTATCACGCGACTACACCATCTTGTAAAACCAGCGTTAATTACAGACAGTACTGAAATTTTAATTAGTTATCGTAATAAACACTGTAATCGATTCGCCGATAAGGGATATCAAGGCCTATTGATGTCCATTGCATGCTACTGGTGAGATCTATTGATATCATCCATGCATACTATTGTGGTCCTAATTAATAAGGATAACGGTCTGGATGTGCTGACCTGTAGATGACGATGAATGCGCCTTTTTTTTTACCTACGCCACCCATAAACAACAACTGACTGAATACTTGACGCTAGCAGAGACACTCCTGTGTCCTGCGACACATCGCAAGGCGAACAAATGTACACGAAGCAAACGACGGGCTTGACTAGAGCCAGGCGGGGTTTACAGCACAAGTACGCAACCTGAGTAGCAGTAACGGCAAAGTAATCCATGCCATAACCAATCCGTAAGAAAAAATTCTATGGCCGTACTAATATCAACAGGAACTACGTAAACAAAACAACGCTGTGTAGTAAAATGTTGTTGCAACTTGGTTGCCAGCTCGATTTGCAGTAACTAAACGTAGGTTGATGATTTGACTAACATAATCAACAGCATAATGTCGGTAACGGCCATAATGTCACGGGAAAAGATAACAACGAAGTCGGAAAAGACTGTGTGAAACCGACGCCCAAAGCGGATTGCTGGGTTAGCGTAGGCGGACGAACGGCTTGAGACTGTGACTTGTTGTTCCGACGAGCTCGCACATCGCTACTATACAGTTGAAGTTGAGGTGAAATTACACAAACAATGAAATTCAAACCTGTTGGCGAAACATCAAAAGTAGTCTTTAGAAGCGACAACCGTTAAAAAAGTTCGTGGCTTTCCTCTTGCTTCATGTTCTAAGCCCGTAGGCGCTTACGGCCAAAAATTCTCTAGTGATCTACGGATAAAGCGAAAAGGAAGACATTTTCGTTTATCGTCAATGCCTTCATTGTCCTCAACTAGCACGTATTATGACCGTAGTATTATTTCTCCTTAGGCGATGCACCTACGGCGGAGTCACACGCCAATTGACCCAACTGGCTTTGTTCCCTCCTGTTGCTTTTTTTGCGGTAGATGATAAATCGTTTCGGCAACAATTAGCGACACTGAATGATGATCAACAGGTGGGCATAACAAATTTTGTGTCGAGCACCGTAACACCGGATCCGCGGGAACTTCCTGCTTTTAAAAAGGTATGTATTCGGGTTGGAAAGTAAAACAAGAATTGAAGTAGTTATGGACGCCAAGTTTTCGAAGATATGCAGAGTAACTCTCAGTAGCTAGAAGTAACTCTCGGTATATAGCAGGTGGACAAGTGTGGTGCTCAATAGTAGTTTCATGTGATTCATAATGATAAGCAACGGCGGCATAAGGCTCGAGAAGATTTTTGTATATGTGTGTTACATACATATATATATGTAAGGACAGATGTATACAACAACAGAACGGCTGGCTAAAATAAAAGATCGTTAATGAATGCTGCTGATCTTAGACGGTGGAGATGAATTTTATCACCGAGTATATGGTAATAATACCAGAATCGTTACGGTTTTTGCACGTGCATCCAAAACGAAAAACCTGGCTGGCTGGCTGGCTGGCTTAGATGGTTCGCCTGAATTCAGCTAGAAACAAATCTCTTCTTTATGGATCGACAAATATGCGTATCGTCGTGAAACGGTTGAAAAGTAATGACATATATACAGGCGTTTAATACTGATGGACACAAAAACAAGCTAGACTTGGCCACCAAATAGAAAGATATCAAAGAACGAATAGGTGTGTAGCGGAGAAAACACGAAAATGGCAGAACAGACAGACGGTAGGGAATAACGGAGAGAGAAAGCGATAAAAACACTTATATTTTCAAACAATTCCTATAATAACGCAAGACAACAACAGCAACAACCATCCAACCACTTTAGGATCAGCGGCAGATATAACAAATAATAAAATGTCAACCGCCGTCTGAAGTGGTGTCTAATGGCCAAAAATAATCAGTGGGAAAGAATGGAGAATGTGAACGTGCTGAAGAACAGAGAGATGGACGCACTGTTGATCACCAAACGCGTTGACCGGGAGATGGTCAATTTCTGTCCATTTGCTTGCTATAATATTTGCCTTGTCTCGAGACCAGGAACGTGGAGGCATGGGAAAAGGAAAGCACAGCGAGAAAGATCTTGGTAAAACATGCGGGCTAATATTGACGACAAATATAAACCGGGAAAAAAATTACTAGCAGTTGAAATATGCCAAAAATTGCTAAAACACAAATGAATAGCCGAGAGAAAGGCAAGCGAAGAGTGTGCGGAATCGACAAAATATGAGAAGAGGTACTATAGCGCTTCAATATATATTAAGTTTCTAGCGCAAGGTTTCTGGAGATTCTCCTGGCGATCATTTGGCACATAATACGTAGACTAGCTGAGGAGAGGAAGAAGCAAGACGAATAAGGATCTTTGGGATAAAGTGGTGATAAAAAATGGAAAATTATTACTAGCTTTGACAAGATTTTGATGAAATAAAGATTGAAAAGGAACAGTGAACACAATAGATCCGATCGTGCACAAGATAAATCTGATAATGAGGTCTACGACGAGGACAATGCTGATGGTAACGTTGAGGCCCTAAGACTTAAAATAACACAAAGAAGCGTTTTTAAGGCGTGTGCAGTAAATGGACACGCGGCAGTTGAAAATCGAACACGAAGGCCTCTAGCGACGGAACAGCGAGCCAACGAGCAATAAGGCGAAGTATATGGGATCTGACGCGGATTTCACGTCTCAGTAGGATGGGTGGTTAGTGAATAACAATTTGCTCGTTTCTAAGTAAAAGGAAAGAAACTTGGAAATTGCGTATAGATACTGATGGCTATAGACAATTAACACAAAGGAAACAGAGCAAGAGCGAACGACGGAAAAAGACAGATGACATGAACACCGAAATGGAGAAAGCAAATAGGACATTTTGCAACAAATACGTCTTCATATAAAAGGATTGTTACACAACAAAAACAACACGATGATTAGCTTTGAGATGTATAAACCTAGGTATATAATGAACGATGCTAATGATGATAAAAGATGATGATGATGATGAATGAGGTAACGCCTTGCTAGGGCAGCATTTGAAGTATCGTAAACAAACAAAAGCAAACAAACCAATCTTAATAAACACAAAGCTCTTTTACAACATGTTCTATATGTCTGCTTATTAATTTTAGGTAAATCATTTACAATTTATATGGTGTTTGAGTATGTAGAGCACAGAGTATTGGTAGCACACCTACGAAGATGTCAGCTTTTATGTGATTGAACAGGTTTAACTTTTATGTATTGCGCCTATTATATAGCTTGATATGATGTTACGCTTAAAAACAGCTGAGTAATTGTCTCAGGTTGTAGGTTGTGATAGTAACACGCCGTGACCGGGACCGGATTGCACGATGCCACAGTAGCTTATTTACCTAGTAATCTGGACACGTGAAGTAGTCTATGTTCGAAATCGGGCGCTGATACTCGTTTCGTGCTGAAAGGGGCTAGCCGTCTAGCAATTCTTAACAGCAGTACCCTACGTAAACCCTAAAATGTTCCTTAGACTCAGTGATCATTGAAGATGCTTGAATTCTTCTATAAGACAATATTCACGATCTAGGATATAACTAACAAAACTGGAATCACTCACGTTTAATCTAAAACAAGTGACAAGCCGGAGCATTTTTACTTAATTTCGGATTAAAAGAGAGATTCAAACGAGGTTTCGCTAAAAGTAAACGTATCTCTAAGACCTTCGTAGCGAAAAGCCGCTTGATAGAAGTGACCGATTTTGCAAACATTGCAGCATAAATAGATATTTTTTAAGAAGCGAATTTGGTAAATTTGTTCACCATGAAAATCACAAATTGACGTATATGACTACCCCCCCTCCCCACTCCCCCTCCCCCATACATCTAGCAGAGTGGTCATGAGGAAAACTCCAGTTTATAAATATTTACATCATTTTCCTTATAACCACTACTGATACCTTCTAAACAGCTCATCTAGTTAAATACTATTATCTCTGTAACTGCATTACCCTAAAAGTATGAACATTATTATTATTCATTTTAGTCATTAGTATGAATGTTACTTTATAAGAATGTTAACTGAAGCAACAAAATTGTTTCTATATATGTATGCGTATTTATTATCAGGTCTATCGAGTAAGAATTATAAGATGCCCTGTTAATCTTATATACATTACGTTACTAACGGACGTACACCAGTAAGTGCAGTAAGCGTCTGCAATCACAGCTCCTTTTCCCGCACTCGCAGTCGCTTCGCGGTATACAAGGGACTCCAGCCAAAGTCAACGTTATCTGTCGATGTCTCTTTTGCTTACGTTTGGGTTGTTAGTGAAGCCCTGATGCAGTGATCCGCAATCAGCCAACTGGTTGGCGTGACCCAGAAACGAGCACAGACACCAGCGGGCTAACGAAGAAAACTGGGTAACTGAATCCCAAAACGCGCCAAGCGAAAGTGAGCACTTATCGCTGCCAAATGCCTCTGCCGATTCTGAATTATTAATACCTTTTAGGGTAGTGCTAGTGCTATAAAATTCGACGGGAAGTTAAGCTAATTCGCGACAGTTTTTTGTCGCTTTACGATCCATTAAACGGAGTTTTTGTCGGATCGGCAATTCGGCAAACCATCCTTCGTTTTCGGCCAGCTCAATCTTAGTTCCAGGTGATTCAGGCAGTACGGTGAATCTTTGCAGGAGAGATACAAAGTACAGAAACGTCTCCTGCTCGCCCATCGATTCACCAGGACAGGCCCGTCGGCCTTGGGCAAAAGGCATTACGTTATTGTCTTTGCGAAAGGTGCCGTCCATGTTAAGGAAGCGATCAGGTAGAAATTCGTGTGGTCGGTTCCATACCCGTGGATCGGTGTGCGCTGATAACAGGTTGTAAAAGACAAGCGATCCTTTAGCAATGTGATACCCACAAACAGTCGTATCCTGTGTGGCTGTTCGGAGTACGCCAATAGGCGTAAGCGTAAAGAAGCGATGTCGTTCAGCTATGAAGGCACGAGTAAAATGCATTTTTTCCATGTCACTGTATGTCGGTGTCTCGTTCTCGCCGATATACTCATTTATCTCATCCTGGATACGCCTTTGATAGTGAGGGTACGCGGCAGCCAACTGGAGGAGGTAGTCGACGGTAATTTGCAATGTGTGACTCCCGGCTAATAAAATTGACGAGAGCATCCCGAACATATGCTTCACATAGGTGTTATCGGGATTTTCCCGGGAAACGGCCACGTAGCAATCCATTAGGTCGCGCAATTCGTCTGGATTGAAAGTCTTCTTGTGCTGCTCCAGTTCAGCAAAGAAACGGTCTTTAATCGTGTTCGCTACGCGCACGTACCCCATCACACCAAACACTTCAAACTGCTTGAGAAACTGAAACACAAAGCGGGGTACACACACGGCTAAAATCTTATCAGCAAAACGAAAAGAACCACAAATTACGTCGGAATAATTGCGTTGGCTATGTGTATCATAATCGAGACGGGTACCTCTCACAAACGAGGCGATATTGTTAAACATCGATTGGCCTAAAAGCTTGTCGATATACACTGGCTTGCCGTTCATTTTGACTAGCTCTTCAGTAAGATTCTCGAGTTCGTCAGAGACAACACGCTCGATCACTGTCGATTTTCCATAACCACCGAGATCCTTGAGCGCATGGATGAGGAAACGTTTCTGTACACGCCATTCCTCGCCTTGCAACAGAAAGAACGGCTTGACGCCGCCAAAGATCTCCTCGGCAACGTCATGAAACCCGACAGGCCACTCGCGGCCGAGTAAGTCATTATTACGGAATGCCTCCTGCACAGGCTTGCATCCATTGATGAAAATCACGTCCTCGCCAAGTCCTAAGAATCGTGTTCTGAAGACTGGGAAAGCGGGATTTTCGCTTAAGTTTCGCAGCAGTCGAATCCGCAGTTTCTTAATGGCAAAAAACGGCAGACTACCGAAAACTGGTAGTCCGTAAAAGCTCGGTGGGTTCTTATGGGACAGCTTGTCATCTCTGAAAAGCTTCTTCCACGACAAGTAATGATACAGAAGATACCCACCAATAAGTGCAAGCGAAATCTCCCACATGGTCTCTCGCTTCACGTCGGGCTAACGAATCGACAACATCGGCAACGAAACAGAACGGAGTCGGACAGTGCGCAGCGGGATCCAGACCCCTTGCTAGGAAAGGGAAGTCAACTCCTCCCACTGAAAGTGGCAACACCATGCCTTGGCGAAAGTCGTTGGCCGCCAACAGGTTTCTTCCTGTGCCAGTGCACAATGAAAATCAGGCCCATCGCTGACGCAAGAACTGTTGTTCTGTTTTGTAGCCTCTCCTCGCATAAACACAAGAACTATTTAAGGTAATAGTTGTATTGTCAAGTGTGCCACGATACTTTTTGATGGAACGTGAGTCGTATTGGAAAGGATCTATATACACGCATAACTTTGTTAGAATAGCTCTCTAGAATAGAATAGAGTAGAATAAATCTATTCTTAATAGTAGTCAATTTAATAATTAAATTATTATCTATCGAAAAACAAATCCAAACATAGTGATTACCAGATTAAACTGCTGTTTATTTATTGCATTGATTTATTAAATACATGCCCTATTTAGCTGCTCACACTGGATACACTGAATACAATAACCGTTCATGATATTTTCATGATTCAGTTCCTCTTCTGTGACTTTGTGTGATCTTTAAGCGGTTAATGTAAGGAGTAAATCAACTAACTAGTGATGAGTTATATGTACTCTAATAGCAAGTAATGGCACAAAGCAATTACCATTGACGAATCGATTTGTTTACGACTAGTAATTCTTAGTCGTCACTACCAGTTGGGAGGATTCTAGGCAAAGTCATTCGACAGAAGTAAAGTGTAACATTACGAACTATAACTGTTAAACTTGTTAAATCAATGGTTGCCATTTAAATAAACAACAAGGTAAGCGTCATGTTTTACAATCTATAAGAAACGAGACAAAAATCTGTTAACGCAAGCTAATTTCAGCATATGTATTGAATGATTCTATCCAACACAAACTAGCCAGGAATGGCTGTCTTTTAAAAGGATATATATAGATATAAAAGTCTGCGAAAAACTGCAATACTACAAATACACGAAAGTAACTTACGTATCTCTAAAAGTTATAGATCTGTGTGTCCAGTAACTGTTTTGCTTCGTATTTTTTTCTACACTTAAACTGATGCTTATTGTATGCAATGCTAGCTGGGAACATTAGTTCAGTTGCGGATTTTAATGACAAACGCCTGCGTGACTTGTTAAATTTCCAAATACTTTCACTATTCAGTGTAAACAACAACATATTATTGTTGGTTATCCTTTTTTAGACAGATAGAATACGTTAGTACTCATATATTTACCTGCATTGGTTCCAGTTAATTTTAAACTGCAACTTAATCCTCAAATCACATCCATAGTAAGCTCCAACCTGCCATATCTTTGTTCTGTGTAACACACAAGCTTAGGAGATTCTACAGCTAGTCGCTAATGGGGTCCATTTTTGACTTTTTTTGGTGGACTACTTTAAGGATTTGCTATAGGTATGTGATAAAGGTGATAGGGGCTAGGGTAAGCTAGATTTAGTTGGCTAGAGATTCTTCACTTTCTTTCGACAATTTATGAAGCGGTAGTTTCTTATGTCAACCAAAGCTCTCGATGAACTCAATTCAAGTACCCCATGTTCCTTCTTCTGGGTTTATGTTTCCACATTCAATGATAAGAAAAAAAGACGGCAACATCGTTTCTGCATGATAAAAAATATACCGTTGGAGAACGGCTTTATTTCTGTAGCAACGAGCATTGTCGTATACATCTCAGTGTGTTCTACAGTTTAGCGCTGCCACTAATAAGTGTACAGCTAATTTTTATTGTAGCAACAATTAGATAGCACCCTAGCTAACATACATCAGTTCAAGTATTTGATATCTGTCAGCTTGATCATCATTGTTACTTCTGAAGGGCTGTTATAGGACGTCCTTAATGAAGTCAGTGTTGTAGAAATCAAGACGAGCTAGCTTTTTGTGAACATTATTTTGCACAATTTGCTGTCTATCCTTTGTTTGTTTGGGCACGCGAAGTTTCTTTTTCTTCCTTGAAATCTACGTAAAGCGGGGTTGTTTATCCTGCCAACCGAGAACAACGATTTAATGACATAACGTCTAATTGCATTGTGGAAATTGATAGAAAGATTCTATGTACGCAGATGTACAAATGAAGATTTTGAGTTTTATGTCCATTAGTGGCGTTAAGCATAACTTCAGACGGCTGGTTGTCAGTACAAAACAATGTATGCATGCGCTGGATTACGAATTAAGACCACCACATATTCCAGCATTTAGCATACGCTAAAACTACACCATTACTAGGATCAGATGAAAGCATACTATCTGAAGCTGATCAGCCAGGCCGATCTTAGTATATATTATACTGACAGTTCGCACTATGATGCTTAATAAAATCGCAATTACATTTTATTTAAGTGTGACGTCTAATCACCTTTACCACGGTAACGCTGATATGAGAGTCGATACTAAGATTTTTTTTAAATAGTACAACTAATTCGGACTGTCTTAGTAGAAATAATAAAGCTAGACGTTCTGATTGTTCTAATGCATATTTACCCGAAAGGAACTGATTTAATATCCAATAAGCAAATAAAATTTGGCCCTCATCGTCTATTCCGATGTAGCTAACCTATTTAATTCTACCGATAACCAAGGTTACGGTTAAGACAATTAAGGTTAAGCTACTATTAGTATTCATTTTGAATGTTCTGAAAGCCTTTCCTGCGCAACAACTTATTAAAAAAAATCCTACTAAATTCCGCTTCGTGCACCTGTCATTTTTCGAACACTATAATAAGCATTAATGAAACATTAACACCTTGGAGCTGCATAGCGTCATACTTAAACGATTAACAATTTCCCGCCAAAGTTCAAACTTACCTTTCTCACGTTAGCCCACCGCTGCGTTTCACGGGACAATTTCTCTCTCGGTTTTGTTTGCCGCCAGACTTCAAGTGCTGTGTTCCTCCACGTTGTATCTCATTAGAAGGTTTCGTGTGCTGCTTTTGAGATCGGGGCAGCGGTTCGGCTTGTTTTGTATGGCCTAGTGCACCCGTGCGGCTCCGTGTGGAACAAGACTTATGCGGCTCCGAAGTCCAGCTAACGATGGAGCAACAGCACGAAAAAACCGAAAAGCAGTTAAAGGCTGAGGCCAAAAAAGCTGAAAAGCTTGCGAAATTCCAGGAGAAACAAAAGAAACTTCAAGAGCAAAAAGAACAGCAGGCGAAAAAAGGCGACGGAGAAAAGAGTGCCACTAAAAAGGATAAGTGCGTTCATTAGAAAACATAGATATAATATATATTCGTAGCGATAATGCATATGCTAGGTACCCCTCTTAACAGTGCAGACACTGCCCAGACTAGTTGATCGTGTAACGATGCTAAAGCATCGGAAGCCATATGCTAACTATCCGGTACAGAATCAACCGAGCTTCTTTGACAGGGTAAACGAATAAGTTCAGTTAGGTTCTCAGTGCATGCCTTTTTTGACCTGCGCTTTTTTTAGATTGGTTCTATATGCAGTTATGATTCCTTTGTCTTGCCACTGTTTCTCTTAGAGTACAATCCGATTATGAGCTAAAGAGAAAGTCGAGTTCTATCTACACCTAATTTACAAATGACAAAAGTTGTCAGCAAAAAAAGAACATGAGAACATCCTGAAACAATTAGGTATTTCACTAATTGGAATGAACAAGATTAATATATAAGTGTATGCTTATTTTTTCGTTATATCCTTTGTAATTCTTTAGAAATTTAATATTCATGTAAGTGAACATGCAATTGATTTTTTTGGTTTGAGCGGATACTAGACTGATTGTCTGAAATGTGTCTTATCCTACCAACTTCAAGTTTTATTTGTGACATTTCTATAACAAAGTTGTACTAGCCATCTTTGTCTTATTATAAATAAACGGTAAAGCCATTGACTGCCAGGCAAAGCTGCACACCGTTTTAGCTTTATGAGTAATTTTTCGGTCGAGCACTGCACGTCTTCGATTTAATTGGCTCTTATTTGGATCAAACACAGTGTCAAGTGTCTGACACAATATGGGTCCTATTGCATCACACCAGGAAACCTATAACTGGCCCACCGAAAACCTTTATTGTGAAAAGTTCTTTTTCCATTTACGCATCGAGAGTAATATATTAAGTCTATCAGACAGCAATGTCTTTGTACATTCCCATAACAATCTGTGATTTAATTTCGACATTTGGTAGTTTTTTACTTAGTAATTACACAATACTGTATTCTTGTTCCTTTAGACTGATCTCTTACTTTTAGACACAAAGGGCTCTCAAGGCCTTTTGTGTGACAATGTTCTCATCGTAATTTTTTTTTATGGTCGCGTTAAATATTTATTTCCGTTTTTAACGAAAAAGCAATAGCATCGCATATTAAATTTTTTACTTGTTCTATCTATTTCGAATGTTGTTTTTCAAAATTAATATTTCTAGTTGCTTTATGTTCATTGCGCTCAATTTACTATAATTCACCATACACAATTTTTAAAACTACGTTCCATTGATCTTCGACAATTCTCACTATATATATACCTTTTTCAACTTCATCCTTATCTCCTGCTTGGTCAACTGTAATCATTAATTCCTCTTTGCCTCGAATACCAATATACATCTGACTTATCTGAAAGACAAGTACCGGGGCCAATTACGTCTATATGAGCTATGATGTTTTTAAATATTAGCATAGATTAGTAGATTGATAATAAGATAATATTAAATACAGTAATAAATTAATAATCGACAGCATCGTTTGAATTTCAGAAAAGAGCCAAAAGAAACCAAGGGTACAATTATCTATGAGAAACAGACTGCACCAGGTGATAAGAAGGATATTTCTGGTGCCATGCCTGATTCCTATAGTCCTCAATACGTAGAGGCGCAGTGGTATTCCTGGTGGGAGAAGCAGGGATTTTTCAAGCCAGAATATAATAGTCCTGATATCCTCGCCGAAAACTCCAAGGGAAAATTCGTTATCGTCATCCCACCCCCTAACGTTACGGGATCCCTGCATATCGGACATGCGCTAACATCAGCCATTCAAGATACTTTGACTCGTTGGCATCGTATGCAGGGCAAAACTACCTTGTGGAATCCGGGTTGTGACCATGCCGGCATTGCCACGCAAGTTGTAGTCGAGAAAAAACTTGCCCGTGAACAGGGTATAACCCGACATGTCATTGGGCGCGAGCGTTTCATTCAGGAAGTGTGGAAGTGGCGTGACGAGAAGGCCGACCGTATCTATGACCAGCTCAAGGCGTTAGGATGTTCAGTCGATTTCTCTCGAGCCGTCTTCACGATGGACGCGAAGATGTGTAAAGCCGTGACTGAAGCATTTTGTAGATTACACGAGGAAAATCTGATCTATCGGGCGAACCGTCTCGTGAATTGGTCGTGCGCACTTAGCTCAGCCATCTCTGATGTAGAGGTTGACAAGAAGGAGCTGCCGGGACGAACTCTTCTGTTTGTTCCCGGGTATAAGGATAAGGTTGAATTTGGTGTTCTGATCTCGTTCGTGTATAAAATCGAGGGAAGCGATGATGAGATCGTAGTTGCCACTACTCGTATTGAGACGATGCTTGGCGATACGGCTGTTGCTGTCCATCCAAATGATGAGCGCTACAAGCATCTCCATGGCAAGTCGGTTATCCACCCGTTTGTAGAGCGCAAATTACCGATTGTCTGCGACGAGTTTGTCGATATGACCTTCGGTACGGGTGCCGTAAAAATTACTCCCGCCCACGACTATACCGATTATGAAGTAGGGAAAAGGCATAACCTGCCATTTATAAATATTATGGATGAAAATGGTGTTATTTCCGCAGGATGTGGCAAGTTTTCAGGTATGAAGCGCTTCGATGCCCGTAAAGCCGTACTCGAGGAACTTAAAAAACTTGGACTGTACCGAGAGACCAAGGACAATCCCATGGTCGTTCCTATGTGTTCCCGGTCAAAGGATATCGTTGAGCCCATTCTAAAAGTGCAATGGTACGTTAATTGCAAAGAAATGGCTGCTCAGGCTGTAAATGATGTCAAAGAGGGAACCCTACGAATTGTTCCCGAGCCACAGATCAAGATTTGGAACTATTTTTTAGAAAACATTCAGGACTGGTGCATTTCGCGACAGTTGTGGTGGGGACATCGTATTCCTGCCTACTATGTCACGCTTAAGAGCAAACCTAATCCGGAGGGTATGTATTTGTGGAATGAGACTTCTCAATCTTCATTTTAGACACACTGATAACTAATGTCTAGTATCTGTGGTGCTAACGCAAAGACAATATCACTAAAGCTGCTAGGTTAGTGCGAATTCTAATGTGGTACCAATTTATTAATTGGCAATCGGATAATTAGCTCAGATCTTCTTTTATGTGTAGGCAATGGAGCTGAGAAATCGTTACATCTAAGTGATTCATGCCACTTCAAATGTGGTTTAAGCAGTACGAAAAATCTACGGCAAAAAGCATTAGCTATGCAATTTTTTACAGATCGATAAGATTTTACAGCTCTGGCTTCGTCAATCCATTCTTGTCTTGGTAACCTTAAAAATTATTTGAAAAGTATAAGGGAGCATACTTATGGGGGCTTTATGCACTATGTACACCTCTCCGTTTATAAGTGCACCCTAAGATAGCAACAATGATGCTACTGTCGATTTAAATAAAGGATTTACTTGTTATGTAACGAAAGATTTTTTAATTAAAGGAGCGCGGCCCGTACAACACAATTTCCTAATTTTTATCATCTCATTCGAATTCACCCAGGTTCGTGGAACTCAAACGAATACTGGATTAGTGGTCGAACGAGGGATGAAGCACTGAGTAAAGCCGCTGCCCAATTCAAAGTAGCATTAGAGGAGATTATCCTAGAACAAGATGAAGATGTCCTTGATACGTGGTTTTCCTCAGGCTTGTTCCCCTTCTCAATTTTCGGCTGGCCCGACGCCACAAGTGAGTGAAAACATTTTTCTAGTTGTGAAGTATGTATGCCCATCACCTATACGAAAGGCTTAGTTGCAAGCCATGGCATAAGTTAGAGGCATATACTTAATGATTCGTTAACGGGCTGAAGTGTGACTCACCCAATGGACTGACACAGACGTTCGATTGTGAAGAATATCGAAACGCCTAACTTTGTAAGATGTTTAATTTTGTAGTCGATTTACAGGCATTCTACCCCGGCTCGCTACTTGAAACTGGTCACGATATCATTTTCTTCTGGGTAGCGCGCATGGTTATGTTAGGAACGAAACTACTGGGTCAGCTGCCATTCAGAGAGGTGCTTCTGCACTCAATTGTACGTGACGCCCATGGACGAAAGATGAGCAAATCGCTTGGCAACGTAATTGATCCTCTTGATGTGATCAAAGGTATCACGTTGGAAAGGCTTCAGGCCACCTTAGATAATTCGAACCTTGACCCAAATGAGATCAGCAAGGCAAAGGAGGGCCAGAAACGAGACTACCCGAAAGGAATTCCTGAGTGTGGCACGGACGCTCTTCGATTCGCCTTGTGCGCGCACATGAGTCAGGGTCGAGATATCAACCTTGATATTAATCGTGTTGAAGGATATCGTTTTTTCTGCAATAAGCTATGGAATGCCACAAAGTTTGCATTAACGTACCTAGGAGCTGATTTTAAACCACCGGACAGCCCCAGTGAACGCCTTCCTATGGATCGGTGGATTCTTTCAAGGCTGGCTTTTGCTGCCGCGAACGCTAACAAGGGCTTAACAGAATACGATTTCCCATTGACAACAACGGCATGTTATAGCTTTTGGCTATATGAGCTTTGTGACGTCTATCTCGAATCGCTCAAACCTGTGTTCCAATCTGAGAGTGACGCTGCCAAAACTGCAGCAGTACAAACATTGTATATTTGTCTCGACACTGGTCTGCGTTTATTGCATCCTATGATGCCATTTATCACTGAAGAACTTTGGCAGCGCCTGCCTCGAGGTCTAAACGATGCCCCATCCATTTGTGTTGCCTCCTATCCTCTCGAGTCCGAGGTGCCCGGTGGTCGCGACGAGCAGATCGAGAAAGATGTTGCCTTTGTGCTAGATCTTGTGCATAAAGTTCGGTCGATGCGTTCAGATTACAACTTGACTCGTGCTCAAAAAGTTGATTTATTCGTTAAATGTCCTGAGGATACGGCAAGGGTTGTTACCGAACACGCCATTACGATAATCACTCTAACAACGTCACTCTCATGCCAGGTGGTACAAACCCCACCTGAAGGGTGCGCAATTACTACCATCGGGAATGCTGAGGCCCATCTACTTCTCAAAGGTAGGTCGAGTTTGCATTTAATAATATTAATGAGTTTTCATGCTTGTTTACTATAGTATTTTCATGTTCGCACGCATTTCATCACAGTGCTCTATGTTACTTGTTCAAATTAAGTTCATCCATTGAGTCTGCGATTGAGTCTAGGATTATCTAACAGTACCGACAATTAGCTTAGGAGCTACGGTCAATCTATCCGACAAGAAGAAAAACGGTCTCAAAACTTTCTGACTTTAATTCTTAATGTGCCAAAAAGATATTGTTAATATTCAGTTGACATAGTTTTAAGAATATATTCTATGAACATATTGGAGCATATTGAAAACCAATTATTTTATCATTTTATCATAGTACCTGTAAAAATAATGAAGAGCCTTAGTGCTAAATAGGAAATATTTTGTTCATTTAAGGTGTGGTTAATCCTGCTAAGGAGAAAGAGCGATTGTCAAAGAAAGAAAGTGTGCTTAAACAATCTTTGGCCAAGCTTCAAGAAAGTATGGCTTTAACGGATTATGCTGACAAGGTTCCTCTGGAAGTGCAGAAGTCAAATTTTGACAAATGCAATGACATCAATGAGGAGCTTAAGCGAATCACGGACTCCATCCGTTGCTTAACCGTAATGGGAGACAACTAGTAACTCCTTTAATGAAACTAAAAAAAAAACTTTATACACTATAAAAGTGATAATTACTTACTAATTTAAACAGATAAAGACCAGTATGCTAGAATTCACACTGGTTGCACCAGGGAAACGAAATTCAATTACAGGCTCCATCGACATATAGCGGAAAAGTTGGAATGACGTTTGCTTCCTACGCACCGCGTACAAAACGCTCATCATTCGATGTGGCTTGAACTCATGAATGAAGACCATATTAATTTTGTTAATAAATCAGCTTTATACAGCTCCATTAGTATAGCTTCTTTGTGTCGCCTATGCAAACAGAACCAACTTATATTGGCATAGATACAATAAGTAGTCGATATTTGTTAACATCATGAAAAATGAGCACCACCTACATTCAGCCTGAAATCACATATTTTTTACATTACGTGCGGGCGGGCTGTCAGAGGGCAAAGCTCCGAGAAGTTTTTTCTCGGATAAGGTATCTTAGCTATTGCTGTTTGTAAGGTGATCTGCATAACTCGTAGTGTTGTTTCGACCAAATATATATTTTTTCCTAGTTCATAGCGCACATCCATTCGACGGCTTCCAGAAGAACATCCATTTTGAATGTCCTGAAAAAGCGAAAGACTTGAAGTGAGAAATGGATCATACGTAGGCAGGTCAGGTTTTTCGAAAGAAGGTTACGAAAAATTAGGACAGTATTGGCGCCTTTTATTTTTCTACCCTATTACGATCGATCAAAGATTTAGTTAGATCGTTTACGGTACAGTGATGCCGAGACACTGTTTAGACTAGATATTTAATAGTCACACCCATATCCTGGTCAGTGTTCACATATTTGTTATACGTACATTCACTTTATTTGCATATTCGTTAGTGATATTTACGTAATGTTGCACTCACTTGGCCATTACCACGAAGGTGTTTAACTTTTCGCAGACCTTTGTGGTATCATTGAGGTTTTTGTAATAGCCTGCGCATTCACAATGACGACTCATATTGTTTTCCTTGATCTGTAATACAGGAAATAGTGTTTCAATCATCCTCGCTACTTTGCCAAGGTAGTACATAAAAAACCGAATGCGTACTATGTTGTATGTGTTTCATAAGTGCTAGTCCTACTAAGATTGCTAGTTAGATAGGATTTTCAGTTTTTTGCGCACCGATTTACAAAATATAAATCTAGATAAGCAACTTGTATTTCATAGCATATGAACATGCCGATTCTCTTTAGTTCTAACCAGCGACTTTTAGACTAAACAGTGACTTGGACCAGCTAAAATAATGATTGTGATGATAATGGCACTAATAAATTAGCTAATTCACGTTTTCTCTCTGCCCACCATGTTGCACTTAGTACATTGTACATCCTGCAAAACTTCAGCGGTTGCTATCGCCTGAAGTGAGTCGACGAGAAGACTTTCAATGTAACTTTTTTCATAGTTGGCTTCACACATCGGACAGTACCATTCGCCTTCTGCCATGAAGGCGTCACGACAAAGGTCGATATCGCGGACATTATTGCAATGGGTGCAAATTACCTGCATAAATGAATTTTCCAAGCATAAAGATAAATGTTTAAAAATGCTACCATACTTGCTGTTGATGTCAGTTGTGTTTCGTCGAGAAAATCAGAAATAAACCCTTTGATATGACGAGGCAGTATTATTATTGGAGTTTTGCTTAATAATGACAGATCTTGCTTAATATTATTTTGCTCTGCATATATTAAAGCCAAGAGAATCGATTTTTCTAGCATTCCATGTCTACTCGAGCCGGCGCTATTTGCCGAACTTCGCGTGATATTTTTTAGGAGTAATACAGAAACACACATCAACAATACGTGAAGCGCAACTTTATGGCTTACAATTTGCCTGCTGCTGGGTGTACTTGTCAACGAGCATATTATAATATATAAATATGTATGTAATAAACGTAGTGTATTACGTAAAAAGTTTCCACGCCAGTTTGACTAAAATCGAGAAAAGCCCTTTTTCTACGGGTAGTAGACAATGAAGTTACCGTTTTTAGAAACCCCAGTGTAAGTCAGCTGTATTTTTGGGCTGGGTCTGACAAATTTCGCGTATGTAATTTCTACAGTAGCAGATAAACTTGCAACTTTTTGTACATAGAGAGATGATTTGCTAAATTGTTGGGGGCATCGAGATACATTTTCTCAAAGTTCTAATCGGCAAGAAATTCATTTAAGCCTATTTGCGCACTCTTCATATCTATTCAATAACTCTAAGCCACGTTTTTGTACACATGATAACCAGAAAGACGCCGATAACGACGCTGGTGTCTGTCCAAACCTGAGAGAGGGTAAATGAAAGGCAGGGATCATTCCACTGAGCGATTTCTGAAAAGGCTCCGACGCCGCAAAGTTTTAGTAGATCTCTTTTCAGCTTATTGTTGATGTATTCAGAAATATTGGAGTCGATTGACAGCGCTCGGGTCACCATCTTTACAAATTCAAGTGACGGCGAATACACTCGCGAAATGGTGGGTCTCATCATAGCATTTCTAGGAAACTCTCCTGTCGGGTACTTGTCGTGCAGCTTTTTCGTCAAGCTAAGGATTAAAAATTAGCAAGAAGAGACTTTTAATAGTAATAAAATAGTTGGTCAGTGGGGATCATTAGGAGTTGTGCAATTAATACTTGTATAACAATTGTACCTGCGATATTAAATATACTATACAGAAAGCGTAAAATTATTTGATACAAGTTTATAATCAAAACAGCTTTTAGAACGTTTTTCTCCACATGCTCTTGAGCTAACTGAATGAATATTATACTACCAACCTCTCCATTCCCGCCTACGAGGGACTTACCTCATTAGACTCTGTGCAAATTCGTCCTTAATCAGCGCGTCAACGAACTTCATGGTTTCTTGGGCATTATCCATCGACCCGGGCTCCTGACCGTGCAGATGTTGATATAAAGCATTAATATATCCCCCAACCATCATATTGAAGCTCTCTTCGAGCGAGGGTGTCGACAAGAACTTGCTCATGTTCCACAGCATTCTAACTTCATCTTCCGAATCTTCCGTTTCTTGAACTCCACCGTGGTTAGACTAGAAGTGAAATAGGTTATAAAATGTTCAATAAAATATTTTGGTGAAGTTGATGACTCTTGGCCAATCCAATGTCAGCCCTTAGCTCAATGACTATGATTAAATGAAATGAACTGAAAAATATGAGTGGCAAAGAATAGTTTTTAATTCATCCAAAACTTATATCATTTAATGAAACGATCGATAAGTAAGCAACGTACCGGGTCCATCCATAGCAACAGTTTGTAGACTTGCTTTACAGTCAGATTTATACTATGAAATAGTTCCTTGTTTCGCATAGAATTAATAACAAAATCGACATAGGACAGAGCGTCTTCGATGCTTCGGCGTTTAGTACAGACGATAACTCGAGAACAGTTGGCATAAACCACCTATTTTGAATACACGAGCGCACGTTTAACAACGCAGGCATTAAAAGCTTAGACAAGTATACTAGAAAATCATTAAGCTAAGAAGTGTACATGTAAAATACTGAATAGCGTGGAGATGGGTTAAACACACGTTATTTGAAAATTTCATTCTTTACATAGAACCCACGCACTGGTGGTCTAAGATTGTGTTAAGAAGTAGTACACTGAGTATACCTACAGTTCTAAACAGGACGAATGTACTGCTCTATACAATTCTACTTGGGGACTTTTTGTCCTGCTTTAATTGACATCAGTTTGTACATTCATACCTTGGCTCCAAGGCGATGAAACTCGGCAACAAGCTGGTGGAACATTTTTCCTATAAAATTATCGACAATACGCTTCAATGAGGGTTCATACAGCAGTGAATGTGGATCCTTCAGCCACCGGAACAGATGCAGCAGCTGCTGATCTGCAAAGACGTTTTTGTAAACCGCCACATCTTTCATGAAGGCAGAAACCATCTGACGAAGAATTCGAAATGCACCTGCACATTGCGATGATTCGTCATAACCAGACACGGTGTGTCCAGCTTCCGTGCCTCCTGTCGACATATTGTAGCAAGAACTGTTTGTAAACATGAGAATAGCCAAAACGCTAATCGTGTGTTGTTTTCATTTATAGACTAAAATGTTTGACTTGATGGGATGTGTAAAATCAAAAGAATTACTTTAATTTAATCTTCACTTTACTATATATACTGGAAGTTACGGTGACAGTAAAGCCCACAGCAGGAACAAACACTAACCTTGAACCATATCCTGAACGCTCTGCACTTGTACGGCGTCAAAGGCAATGTTGCTGCAGATACCCTCAAGTTCGGCAAGGGTATGCGCCTGAAGTATGGTTGTCACGAATAATCCATGCAATTCCAATTCAACACAAGCACTTGTGTACGCTCCTTCATGATTCGCCTGATAAGTCATTTAGGCATTATTTGTATAGTTTCTAATTTTGTACGACTCACCCGCTACAACGCGTTTCCAAAATGCTCCAATTAGTGACCAATAAGTAACGCTCTTCAAGACGTCGCGAAGAAACTCATAATAAATACATGTCTGTTATGGCGGAGTTCGTCAGATTGTATACCTAAAATTTAGTAAAATAAACAAGCTTTATATTGCCTAGCCAGGTCATATGGTTGTTGTCTACCTCAAGATGAAGTTCATGCTCGAGGCTGCGATTATCATCGGCCTCTTTCCCTCCGAGATCAGGACGGTCAGTGTTTGAACACCACCAAACAAAATTCTGCTTGAGCAAATTTCGTGCGTAGAAAATATCGCAGCCGAATTTGGTTGCATCCGCTGGCAGATTGCCGATCGGCACATGTAGGTAGCGGCATTGTTCGAGCTGGCCCTAGAATTCAATTTTTTAGCGACGACATATTAGTTTGCGCCAAAGTACTTTGCATGTACTAATAACTGTTGATCTTATTTGCAGCTCAAATCTTTGCGCTACGGCACTAAAAGCGTTTAATAGTTTCGCAAGCTTGATTGCGCGGTTAGGTGAGAACGCAACTCACATGAAGGGCGGGCTCAACATTGAGGAAATGTTTGATGGCAGCCTTACTCCCCAGTCGTTGCCACTGCAGATGATCAAACATCTTTACGCTATCTCGAACGTGAAGTCGCACCATAGGAAACTCGCTAGTTTGCGGCATAAGCACTGCCAGATCTGCCGCATCAAGGGCGCTTTGTACGGCAAGGAGTGTAGGTCCTCGTTTTTCAGTAAGGTACAGCTGTAGTTGACGCTGAATTGCCTTATAAACTACACGAACATCAGATTCTGCTGAAGACTCAAACGTGTAGTCGGGTCCTGAAATCGCATTTTCAGCAGTACCGCGATCGATCCTATTTGTACGCATGACAAATGCAAGCGAGAATGAGTTATTCTTTAACACATATCTTAAATACTTTGTGTATCCTAGGTACATCGAATTTTCGCGAAGCTAAGCTCGATAAAAATTTTATCAGATTTTATAAAGTTCTGTACTGCTCTATTTAAATGTAATTACATATATTTCGTGCGATTAGTAACTTACTTGGCTGCTCTTTCTTGATTATACATATTGGTCAAATTAGGTATTTGATTCGTTTTCACAGTATCCACTGTAAAAAGCCAGGCACGTTTTGTCACGGGAATGAATAGAGCCAAGAGTTGCTTTTGCGCCTCCCGATGTTGATACAAAAATACGTATTTCATGCATTGCCCTTCGAGATAATCCACTTGTGCTAGGGTGCACATTTCTAAATGACGCATGTCGAAAGTATCGTTCGACTCCCCAACATAGTGCCTGTAAAACAATAAGGATCCGATGATACTTTTAGAATCCTTGCTGATGGATCTTCTTCGTCATCCTTCCGTTCTACCTCTGAATATCATACCCAACGTTCATCTGTGACAACGTCTATGCTGCGGATAGCGCAAATGTACCCTCATAATAGAATTTTATATGATAGTTATACCCCCAAATTGTAGCCATACCTGTAATACTGCTTGTTAAGCTTCGTCACACAGCCGAGCGTAACAATAAGTCGGAAATCAAGAGGCACTTGTGTCTCGTATATCCCCTCGATATACGGATTTGCGAGCTCCGCAGCGATATCGTCGTTATTGTGAATGTACACCCCTTCATCAATCGCGTACTCATACAGATGAGCTACTTGATGCGCACGTGGTAAATGACGCATTACCTTCCGATAAATCGGAGATTCTTCGTTATCTTTCGGGTAACGTTGATTGACATAGAAGATGCGGGGTACAACAAGGCGTATCTGCCGCAGCTCCAAAGAACCTAGTAGCACCCAAAGCTTGAAGATCCCTGGACGGCCTGTTTCGCAAACCTATAATTTAAAGGAAACAAGTCACTAATCGATAAACATACAATACGCATTTAACATAAACATTTGGTAAATAAATGCACATGCCTTTTAAAGATTGTTTTTCTGAGATCTTTTTTTTGGGAAAACGTTTGTATGATATGCTGCTATTACCTGAATCACTTGCCAGGGTGAGTTGAGGAGTGTCTGTTGAGCCTTACGTAGGAAATTCCCAAGTGTGTTGATACCTGCGCCATTAGTGCCACCAAGTCTGGTCCGCTTAGCCACTTGAGTGGCCGTGGGTGATGTCGGTATAGCAGATGCACGGGCAACACGTTTAGTAAGCTTCTTTAGTTGGTCCCTCTGATTTTTTTGGTAAGTCCACTTGCGCTTGTGGAAATCGATCCATTTGGCGAGCTCTTCATTCGTGCTTCCCGTCGGGGGTGGGTTCCCTAACACCTCCCTCCAATGACGACCGATATTCTCGATATTATCCTCGTCTCTGGCCCTTTTGCGCGTTACTGTAGCAACCACTGGGCGAGTTTCAGATGACGTGCCCGGGCTACAAAGATCTTCTATGTCCTTTTCCTGTTGGCTTACAGCAATCAATAAAGCAAACAAGTCAATAAGTTTTTTCATATTCTTATGCAATTATTTTATGGTGTTTTGTGTATTTAATATTTTCCAGTACTTTTTCTCATGGTGCCGTAAGGTTGAATTTCAGTTTTAAGTGCATCAAAACGGGTATATGAATATTTACTACAAGGTTTTGCTTGGAGTGCACTTTTAAGTAATGACACATACTGAGTCAATACAACAAAGAATTTAGATTTGTAGCTCTTAGTTTACGTAAGGACCTTTGTTTGAAACATTTCGTTGATCCGCTTTTGCTTAAGTACGTCATCCTTTTCAAGGAGCCTTTTATGAAGCCACGGTGGATGGGATACTCGTGGAACTGGATTCCGGACCTAGTCGTTACACAGTTAAACAACACAGCAATGTGCTCATTATACATGTTTGCTATGCATAAAATCGTAAAATGCTTTCACTTACGCTAAATCTCACTAAATAGCTACATGCGAATAGTCTTTCGTTGAATGTATAATAAATCGTTCAAATCTACAGGACAAAAAATACATACTGAATCATAATAAAGCCAAATGCAGAAGGTACAGTTTCCAGTTAAGTATTCCACCAACCTGCTGTAGAGCGGCTGGAATGGTGATGATTTTTTGAATAGCGGAACCAAGCCGCTCGATATAATAATGCCAGTCAAGAATACTCCGAATATCCAACTCATCCTCGCCATAACACTTGAGCCACTTGCGAAGAAAGCGACGTCGCACCGCGGGCTCAGCCTATTAGACGTAGCAATCAGCAAAATACAAATCAGTACAAAAAATGTTGATCTAATCGACTTGGCACATGCAGTCGCTACTGATTAAAAAATGTATATATTTGTTGTTTTTGCTTCCTTATAAGCTTTCGGGCCTTGGCCCAAAAGTAACATCATTCGAACCTTGTAACGTTATTCGTGAGTGTTTTGTCTACTGGGCCCTTAAAAGGTGTCCAATAACGGGAAATCGGGTTCTGACGCCCATGCATACTTGGAAATCAAATCATACCCGTTATAAATCCTCAAAAAACTTTTGTTATCCGTTTCCTATGTTCTCTATGAAATATTTCTTAAAACTTAGATTTAAATCTTAGTAATTATTAAGTCAAACGCTGCGTATTAAAAATTTCAAATATGCGTGTTAAATTCAACCTAATGCTAAAAAACACGTCAGTACTTTATGCTTGTTTCTAATTGACTTCAAATACAAAACCTATTATATTTAACGGTTTTTTTTAAGATATAGAGCTTCTTTTCAAATCAAGTTTTACTGAGAACTTGGATTTTGTTCTGCTACAAAAGAGGATCAACACATGTTCATATTTCCCGGCCTCTAAAATAGCGGACATCTAAAGAGTACCATGCATGATTTTAACTTGAAACCACAATTAAGTTTCAACTTCGCATCTTCACAAAACCTCCACTATACTATATGCTTACATAACATTGAATCGTTCAGCAATGAGTCTTAATTCGATTAAGCACTTATTTTTGCCCGTGCAAAGAATAAGACTAACAGCAGCAGAAAGCGTACCACACTTGGTACTATTGCGGTACCTTCGTTGTGTTTACAAAGATGGCGCCGAAATTTTCTTAAATTGTGCGGTGTCAAATACAACTTTGTGATTAAATTACATCACGGGCATAGTGGTTCGGGTAAGAGAGCTAAAAATACAAAACGGGTAACTGGGTTTAAAACCGACGTAAATTAAGCTGTTAATCAAAAAAGAATTTATGAAATATCACATAAACAAGTGGTCATGTTCGAAACAGACTTCATATGTAAATGTATCAAGTTTCCAATCTTCACAACGACTGCGTGAAATTAGAACACCAAGTAATTTAATTGTTTTGAGCAATATTTCGACTTTTTAAAAAGCCTAAATAAATTTGAAAAAATATGGATTAGAGCGTATGCATATCGCAGCTCATACAAAACTTTGCAATGCCTTTTGAGTAGATTAATGACTTATAGCGAAATTAGTTTACTAAATTGTCGATAACAGAGTCTACTACGAAAATATAAATCCAATAAAGTTTAATATTTTTCTTTGCAGGGGAGGGACTATTATCTATTACGAAAATTTACTTCAAGTGTGAAAAGGTTCCTTGAGAGCTTAACAGCTTTTCAGAAAAATAAATTTGCGTGCCAAATTGTCGAGTAGTGCCAACCGGTCTTCTCTATGACTGCGTGCATTTTTGAACACATTGACTTGTAGAAGATGTCGGGACGAAAAACAAATAGCCCTGAGGAGCCGTGCTCATCGCGAAGCCCCGAGCCCGATGCACCCGTGGCAGTGGCAAAACCAAGTCGTCGTGACGAACGCTATGAAAAATCGGACTTTGTCGTGCAGTGGGATCCTCAAGAAGGATTGATGCCCCAAATTCTTAGCCTTATATCTTCACCACGAAAGGAAAGCAAGAAGAAAAAAAATAATATACTTATTGTTGGTAAGTGATAACGTAATAGCTATCAAATATACAGAGTTCTTTTTTTAGAGACTCGAATTAGGTAAAAAAAATTAAACCATGTGTGAGATATAGTGCTGTTTATCCAAAATGAATTGTATGCTTAAATGCTGTCCCATTGCATTTAAATAAAATTACTAGTAAACAATTCCTAATCGCATTCCTGCAAAATGTATATAAAATATTTCCAAGATATGACGGCGATCAGGATCGTTTAATAATTACTAACATTCAATCTTGTCAAATGTGTCTGTTGTCTATATTATGAATGTGATAAAGGTGTACTTTACTGGTCATAACATGGAAATCGTGAACCCTCTAAACCTGCCTATCAAGAAAATTCTGTTGCTAATGACGAAGCCGCCTGTTTTTTCCTGATCTCTTTTTCTGTTGGCCAGGTTCAAGTCGAGAATGTGTTTCTTGTGGTGAGTGTGGGGATGTTGTGTGCTGCTCACGGTGCAATTCTTGCTTTCATACCTTATGCCACAATCCCCCTCTTGATGATGACCATTTGCCAGTGGCCAAATGGACCTGCTTTAATTGTACATCGACTGCGGCAGCTGTAGCTTTGGGACCGGCAGCCGAGGTTGAGCCAGAAGACGAACTCGATTGCGAAGAACATGAAGATTCCGATCGTCCCTTGCTAAGTCGAGCATTTAAAATGCTGCTCAAAGCGGTCGAGAAGGATAATTCGGAGGAATTTCAACTAAGTAAAGAAGTATCGCTGCCATACGTGTTTTCAGGGTGCGGCAAACCGACAAAAAAACGGTTACGAGAAATGAAGCTGGCCCGCCTCGACCGTGGTCTTGTACCTGCACCGGTAAGAACGTGCTTTGGCTGTGATCGATCGTCGCGCGCTGGCCCACTCATCCAATGTGATTACTGTCCACTGATGTTCCACGCTGACTGTCTCGATCCCCCGCTAACAATGATGCCCCTATCGCGGTGGATGTGCCCAAACCATCCGCATCATGCGGTCGACGACAAGATGACGTCAGATCGACATTCGGAACGGGTGAGGTTATGGGACGAGTATTGTTGTCAGTCTGTTACCGAGCAAAAGGTCATGCTGGACTTTTTCCATAAAAATTCACGAAAGGATCCACCATTCAACAAGAAGCGTCGAATAGAACCTGATGTAATTCGGGTCGCTATACCTCCCCACATCAAGTCGATGTATCGGGCCGCACGGAAACGTCGTGAGCAGCACGATTGGTTAGGTGGGGTTATTTCTATGAATTCGCGGATTTTTGATTTAGAGCATGTAACAGTGGATGACCTAGGGGAGACAACGGTGCGGTTATTGGCTGCCCGAATGATCGAGCAGATGAGACAACAGAAAAAAGCTGAACCAGTTGTTGACAAGGTGCAACCTCGGGCATTCATTACGCCTGGTTTAGGCTCAAGCGGCCCACAGCTCTGTGTGACGGAAAACCATCTAACACTAGGGATGTGTAACAGCGCCGATGTCAACCTTGAATACTATGGAGACTGCAAGTATGCTTCTGCACGACATGCCGTTATATTCTACGATGAAGTAACGGAATGCTTTGAGCTAGTCAACTACAGTGAATATGGAACACATGTGGATGGCGTACTCTATAACCACGACGTGCAGCATATACTTAAGGAGAATCAATCAGTTACCGACAACATCAAAGCTCTTGTTAAAGAGAAAAAGAAAATTGTAAGTTTCGTGAGTTTTCACATATCTAAGTAATAACCATGTTCTATTAATTTATAATTATGACACTAACTAATGATAGCTATATATATCAAAATTGCTGATACCGATCAGAGGCTATTGCAAAGCTCGCATATTCAAGCTTATCTTTTTAAGAAAATAACACAAAAGTAGATATGGTGTTGGTGCAAGTTGTAGCCTAGTAAAAAAAAACATTCTTCTGTTCCCGTTTGAAACATTCTAGAAGGAGAAAAGGCTTCCGATGAAGCGAGGACGTAAATCGAAGGCAGAAAAGGCAGCGCTTGCGGCTGCAGCTGCAGCAGCCGCAGCTGCCCAGGCCATTGGCAGCGATGTTGAAGAGGTCGACCTTACCGGATGGACTGACGAGAAGGAAGCCAAAGAACAAGCCATCAAAGCTGAACGAGATGCCAAACGACTCGAGGGTAAAAATGAAATTATAGTAAAAACGGAAACCATTGATTCGGAAGATACGTTATCGGCGGCCGGGGCTAGTACACCTGTTGTGCCGAAATCCGAAACGTCTGACGGACCCGATCTGCCGAATGGCGAAGTGAACGGAGAGAACGGAATCACTACAAATGGCTGTACCATTAAGAAAGAAAAGGACGAACCGGATGAGGAGTTATTGGGTAATATAAACGGTCTACCAAGGGCATGCATCTGCGAACAGAACAACCTCATGGGAAAGATTTTGCCAGCAGAAGGTTTTGAAGGCAGCGCCATTCTCCACAATGGCAGTGTATTAAAGGTTGGCTGCATTGTGCTGTTATTCAACATCGTAGAATGAGGAATTATTCTTCAACTAACTAATCTCTTGAAATTGAAAATCGTTTTTTTTTTCATGTTTTTCTTTCGACGGTCGCTTTTTGGGGGATCGTCGATTCTGTTAAAAACAGGTCGTCGCGTACGAACCGACAAATAGTTCTTCAATGAAATGTCATCCTTGTACATATCGCTTTAGTACGGTTTATATAGTGTAGAGAGGAAATGGTTGATTGTATATGTAACGCGTCCATTCATGTATCTGGTGCCCGAAGTGCATTGTGTAAATATTGAAAAATAAAACTACTGTAGATTTACCTAAAATTCTTGGGTTTTCGCTGGACGAAAGTGGAAAAAAAAACACAGTTAACCGTTTGGACATCGTCGGTTTATGATTTATGAAGGAATGTTAACGGTTAATTACAAAGCCTAGTTCGCTTATGAATGTAAGCCTCTGGCTAAGCATGTATATGAAACATTATTGATTTCTATAGCCAAAATCAATAACCTTGTAACCGTAAATTGGCCTTCGTTATTTAGGCTGATTGCTAAGTTTATTCGAGGTGAATGAAGTCCTAAGGAAATTTGGGAAAGCAAGCAGGTAAACAAAAAAGAAGTAGTGAAAAAGGAACAGAATCAGTTAAGACAATATTCGAAAAGAAACAGTCACAAAAAATATGGAGACAGTCAAAAAAGACTAAGGAATGGGCTTTGTCTGGTTGGCTGTCGAGCAGCAATATGCAACCTGCTGTAAAATTACGAGACCGACAGCGGTGCCATTAATACCACGAATTCAGATTTGTACGGCTAATTTGAAAAGATTTTTATTTACTAATATAGAGTCATTCCGAGTGCGCCATGCAAAGGTAACCTGAAGAGGTGAGATAAGGTTTCATACCTGAAATATAGCTAGCGGAATAGCCCGCTCGGTTACCGGAGCTCCTTCTGGCTTTTTCGCGATAACATAACAGCAAGATAAGCCCGCGTCTTTCACCATTTGATCGCCAAGGAATTCAGCTAATCGACGAGCAGTTGAAATCGATGTGCTCTTTTGCGAGCCGTAGTCCTCGAGCTTCTTACTCATTGAACGGTTTTCAGATATAAGCTCAAACAGTTCTTCGTCTGGCATAGTCGAGGCTCGGGAGTAAAGGACGTCCAACCAGTAGTCCGCGATTTTTGCTACAGAGGCGTAGCACTCTTCCAATGACTCGCCTAGTGTAGTAACATGAGTGGGTGGACGGCTTTACTTCAAACCCTTCTTTGCCTTTTCTAGGCGAAAAAAAATTACCCAAAATTTGCTTCGGCTAACAAAAATGTACGTGATATAGGAGCGACAGTACACTGAGCAACATTATTCTGAGCAGCCATGTTAGTCACATAAAAATTTTGATAGCCTCACTCCTCGCAATCGGTTCATTATTAAAAATCTGAATTTGTACAGCTACAGACCTACCAACAACAGCAACTAAATTGTTTCGCCGCTGCGTCCTTTTACTTATTTAAATTCAAATTATAACATGAAAGCAAGAATCTGGTCAACTTAAAAATAGAGGTGATCCACCATCCAATGTTGTAACAGATTTTGATCACATCGAACATTTGCGCAAATCGTCTTTACAACCAGCGCATATTTCGTAATAAGCACGGCATACCTTTAAGGAAAGCTTCAAACACGGACGACTGGAAAATCTTGATAAGTTGCAATTCACCTCGGCGTTTCACCTCAAACCCTTTCAGTTCAGCTAAACTTCCATCAAAGTTGAATACAGCGTAACGCTTCTTAAGCTTCTTGCCTTCTTCTTTACTGGCTGGAAGCACCATAGCAAGGTATGGGCCATCCACCTGTATTTTGAATGCAGTGTAAAGCAGATACAGTTACGGGGTATCATAACTAAGTATGGTCATCTAAGGTTTAGCACAGTACATCTATTTTTTTTTTATTAAATGGATGTACCATTAAATGGATGTATGTAATGGATTAAATGGAAATATTATAGAATCCACGATGGGTGCTTTGTAAATACTTTAAAGTGGCAGGAAGTTGCGGTAGATCTTTCTGAGAGAAGATATGTGCTTCGCAGCATAACGAAATGAACTGCATGAATAATTGCATAGCTTGCACAGAGTAGATGGAACAGTCTAAACGAGCATATAGCCAGTTTTTCATAATTCAATAAAGTTTAGAACGAGCCGGAAACGCCTGGTTGCATCAACTAACTACTTACCTCAAAGAAGATAGAGTTTTCCTCACGAATTTTATAGGTGCGCTTTTCGCGATCGACAAGTTCATAATATTGGTCATTTGTGTTATTTTTCTGCACCATAATGTTGAGGACGGCACCGGGATATGAAATAACCACTTTTTTCTTTTTTTCATGCGTCGACAACACTTCAAAATTTTCAGGGAAGGATGCTGGAAGAACGCACCAGATACCGTCTGTATCTAGCTCTAGTGGTCGGCCTATCTGTTCAATAAGCTCTCGAGCTTTCATAATAATATCCGCACCAGTATGGCAAACAATGCCAGCCATCTCCATAGAATACCACCTAAAATAAGGAAAATCGCAAATTGACTCATTTGAATCTTTACCACACGATCACATTCGTTCCTCTCTTTTGCGAGATTAGGTAAGAGAGATCCGTTCGTGCCGTTCAGTTAGCACCTTGGCACTTATGGCTCTATTAGAACAGTGTGCCTGTTAAACCTAGTGCCCAGACGGAACCTCCACCGCCTCAGTATGTTCCACATTGCCCCCTCGTACAGTGAACGTATGCTACACTACTATTACACAGTAGTAGGCGTTAAACATTTTGCAAAAGGAGAACATAATTCGTCGAAATTTTATAATTATGGTACCTGGCTCCCTTCCTCATGACGTAACCATAGAATGAGTTCAAGATGCACTTGTGGGCTAGCTGAAGAGAGTCATATAACACTTCCAAGTTTTTTGCTGTCTTAATTTCAGCTGCGTCACCCGTTTTTACGGCATCCGCCACTTTCCCTTTGGCCTTTTTGAGTAGCCCTTTAAATTCATACCGCCTATCGCGGAACTGCCTGACCGTATCAACATAAAACGAGTTTTCTCGCTGGCAGATCGTTGTGTTCCTAAGCTGTGTTTTGGTGACATGAATCTTGGAATATGCGCGTCTGCAATAATCTTGTAAGCGTTTCTTCTCAATAGCGGCACGATCTTCATCCGGAAGTTCGTGGAAGGGCACCCGTTTTTTAGGGTTACTAGGTGATAAGAAGGTTTCGGTCTCCAACTGCTGTTGTATACGTTGGAACTCGGCACGAGTTGCGGGCATCATTTCGCCGCGCCATGTCCACTCCATCGTGCGCTGACATTTTTCCCCAGGCCTGTAAAGCAATAATTGGGGGTAGCTACTGTATAAACTTTGTAAATAATGTTATATAACTATTACTTGCCTCACTTCCGTTTCATTTAAATCTTAACAGAAACATTTCTAATATAACTAACCTGTTATAGTCACATGCAGCACATGTGGTCTCATCTACCATCGCCGACGGTTGAAGACGATTTGTGAGGATAATATTTGGATACATAGCACCAACGTCAAGATGGTATATTATCGGCTTTTCCAATCGATTCGGGCAGTCGCGCAGACCAGTTAAAGCGCCTTTAATCTCATCGCATACTACCTTGAAATTCGTGACAGTGTCAAATGGTATGCCTTCTTCGACTACAATTGCTCGTTTCATTGTTTCTTCCACCTCGTCTATAAGTTGTTGGCAAGCCTGCGGAACCAGCCTGAATCTACACGGGATGTCTGCACGAAATACGCCCGACTCTAAGGCCTCGACGTGTCCGCCGACGTACGTCTCTTGATCGAGCACATGCCCATCTTCGGAAAGTTTATTCAGGACACTCTCCTGTTTGTTAGGATACACGATATTTGCTTCAAATGCTTTAACCATAAGGAGGGACTCACACAAAGTGCCAGAACCCTTTCGTAGGACTTCGTCTGGTTGCGTAGGAATTATTGTGCAAAGAGCAAAGATAAACGGATGCACGTATTTCATGTAAAGATAGTACGTGGCAACCGCATCAGATACTGAATAGTTGGCCAGAACTTGTGGGTTTTCCTGGGCCATCTGCACCATCAATTCAGGATCTAATTCGACAGGGTCGTAACGTAGTTTAGCTTTAGCTACGGCCTTCAGGTTATGACTGCCAACGGGTAAATACGAATCTCGTTTCACCTGCGTAAATTACACAAAACAGACAAAAAACCAATGTGACATAGGAATCCCACACATCACACTTTTTCCGCTCAAAGCAAATCAAGTAAGTAGTCCTCCAGCATTCAACGCTAGAACAAATTCATTTAAGAAATAGTTCGAAAAATCGACGCTCAAATATTACATACCCAGTGGAAACAATCCATATGAACACATGGCCTGCTGAGATAAAAACCTTCACGACCTTTACTCCAGCCAATAAACTTGCCCATGTCAATGCCATGAACTTTCGCACGCTCTTCAACATACATCCAATCGAAAGAGTCTCCATTATAGGTAACGATTATAAGTGGTCGTACATCGAGAATATGTTCGAAGAACTTATTCAGTAGTGCGGCTTCATTAGCTTCATTGAAGGTTGTAAATTGACCTACAATTTCAATTACATAACAGGTGTCAATAATAAATAAATAAAACTTAACAATTAAATGATCATTCTAACAGAAAAAATATAGGTCTATTATATAATTGAATATTATTTGCATAAGAGGCGATAGCTACCATTGTGTGTTTTACTCAAAAAGCTATTAGAGCTTGGACCACACAATTTTGACAGCAACGTTAATTTGAAGGGTCAAACTCGCGAAACTCTGAAATTTTTTTCACATTCATGAGCCATATCATGAGCCATATTTTTGTCTATTAGTGTCAATCGTCATTACTATTAAGCTAATAAACCGAGTCTAGAATGAATAATGGAAAACACACCTTCGAATTCGGGCTTCGGTGTGTACTCGAAGTCCTCTACATCTTCCGCGACGATTTCACGATTAGTGATCAGAAAGCCCTGTGCGTCGATCATGTATGAAATCATCATAATCGGATCGCTGGTAGCGTCGGGAAACTTGAGCGGCAACTTTGACGTTTCTATATCATAAGCCAAAACACACACGTCCTAGTGCAATATAAGATCGAACAATGTGATGTTACTAAATATTCTTGAAACAATAAATTACAAACTTTGTTATAATACAAAGATAGGAAAAAATTAAGCGGTAACTTCGGGAAACGTGAGAGCATGTCAGTGACCAACAAGAATGTTTAATGTCATCTTAAAACCTATATATCTCTATAGTTTTCAGGCTGCATGTAGAAGTTCCTCCTTTACTTACTGGTGTTGTAAGCAAATCCTCTCTTTTCGATATAATTGGAGTTGTACCGCCTTGCATACGGATCGAGTACCAAAGACCAACGAATAATTTGAGGTCTATACTGGCGCGAACATGATACGGAACATCGTGCTCTCGGATGTCCAGAATATTCTGGGTAGGTTCAGTGGGAGCTACCGTTGCAGTCGCAACGTTATCGAGCTTGTTTTTCTTAACTATCGGCATCAAATCACGTCTAACCTGATTCAAACAAGAAAAATAATTAATGTTTATGAAGATCACCAATTGTTATGTTACTCAACAGGTGCTACGTAAAAGAGTCGTTGGTAAGATCAAAGCTGTGATCAGTAACGATATATGTTTAATCTGACATAGGACTGAAATCAGATATAGTGGACTGGACTACCTTGACGCATAAACGTTTATTCGTGAACCTCACGACAGATAAATATTTTAACCAAAATACAACAAACTAGACTAGAGGAATAGAACGAAACCGTTTAACTGTCCTTCAGTTCTTCACTACTTCATTTGGTAATGAAAGACAGATGTGTTCAAGAATAGCATTCATTATCATGGCCTTCTGCCCAACACTTACCTTCTGGAGGTCAGAAGTGTGTGCAAACGAACACTTAATATATGTCTGCTGAAGCCCAGTCAAATGATTAAGTAGATCGAGATCTTCTTTCATAACAAGTTCACACCCCGACAGTTGCCCCTGGAACTTCCGACCAAGATAGGAGGTAACCTCTTGCTCTGTGCCCTGCCTAGCCAAAACGTACATATAGGGCTTGAACGGTACGGAGACTTTGAATCGAAAACCACTTTCTTCTAAAAAATAACAATCTAGGGCGGCGATGAGCCGCTTGTCTTCATCCAGTATCTCCGCCTGTGCATGAAACGGCGACATGTAACAGGAAATTAAAAAGAACACACGATATTATTATTTTCCAGGGTTATGAGGTTTGAAAAGAAAGAACTTTTACAGCAACTCCCGTAATCATTCGCAAATCGAACAAAGTGCTTCAAGAAACTATACTGGTAGTGACCATAGCGTTTTCGTTGATTTCATTTACCAAAAATAAAATATCATAAAAACTCGTACCTGCTGTAAATTTACCATCCACCCGATGCGCTCAGTTAGTTCCGAATATCTTTCGAAGCCGTAGCGTGCATCGATTTGGTCATTGAATAGTGCGGTTTCGAGTCGACGCTCTGAATTATCCCTGCAAAAATGCAGAATAAATTATGGGCGTTTTTTATAAGCTTTAAGATCACTAGCTTTGTATGTAACATTGTAAGTTTCCAAGTACAAAACATGTATCCAAAAAAACTAAAAAAATGAACTACGAACCCTCTAAAAAAATCAAGTTGGTGGATTTTTTTTCATAGAGACCTCAACTCTCCTAGCACTGGAAACGTAACGTTGTAAGTTTTTTAAATTCAAATATGTATTATTGCGCACCTTTATGACGCCCAAGGACTAAGATGAATTACGAACATTTTAAATTGATAAATTAATTTGAGCTCTGAATGTATTTGAGCTAGATTCATATTCAGAGTACATCCATAAAAAATCGCAGTTCATATATTGAATTTTGCATTTTTCAGCTAGCCATTTGGGCCCGGCTGAATTATGTAAGCCAAAAACAATTAGCTTTGAAAATATTTTTATGCTATTGTCGCGGGGTCCTTCTGTGGCTTTTTATAAAGCTCCATCGATTCTTTATTTCATTCATTCTTACGGCAACTGGTTACTCGTGCGGGCCAAGTACTAGCTAACAGGCAAAGCAAGTAGTAAGTATTTATTAAGAAATAAGCTCTCTCAGTTCATTTACGATCAACGCTGGGCACATAGAAAGGGGTTTACAGATAGATAGCTTAAACTGTAAACACAATCCTGTTAAGCTAGCTTAGTCGCTGAACTTATATGCTACCCAGATAAAGTAGCAAAAAAAAGTATTCCAAACAAAATGCGTAACAAAAAACTCCAACTTGAAAGAAAAAGAAACAACTTCAAAGACAGGATTTTATCGTATATTTCTGTTCAACATTAGCAACTAAAACATGCCAGTGTTTAGAATTAATTTAACGTCTTTTTCAAGCGTTTTTCGCTCCAAATTTATGATTAAACATGACAAAAAAATATTTGTTTCTCTTATTCGACAATAAACCGAAAACCTCATTGAAGTCCAGTGTCATACAACCATCGCTCACCCTTTATCAAATGTACTGTTTTCTCCGCGACGGTCGGCTATGTATCGGCCAGTGTTCCGCGGTACCCCTGGTGGAGGCATCTTTGTTTTCACACGAGAAATTGACTATTGAAAAAAGGAATACACCTTGGTGACGGAAAATTAACCTTTCATTCCAAACTCATTATTAGTTCGGATTAGAAAAGGCAGACAAGTCGAAGTAACATGTCACATGTACACAAATATTGCGAAAAAATGCTTATTCTTGAATTATTGTGGCATTACAAAGACCATCTGCAGTAGATGTACGCGCCCTTTGGCGCCAATATGCGCAAAGGTAAATATAACGTCATGGAACTACTTCGAAAACAGCTCCAGCTGTCGAACATATGAAGTAGCTAAATATGACCATATGGCTTAAATTGGGTCTGCGGTACCCTATTAATAAGAACAATATTGTTATTGGTGGGGAGGGGGCCGAAATAGTACATTAGCACCATAAAGCTTTGCTTCGACAACTTCGCAAGTGTCACCAATATGAAAAGCTTATTACGACATGCATACGTTTTTTACGCTTTTGTAACCATTAACTTGTTTTCAATACTTATAATAAAGAAATTATATCGGTTTCGCTAAAACCATAATACAACTCTCATAGGCCCAGGATACCGTGCTTGTTTCTTGCATTGTATGGGGCTCGCAAAAATAGAATTATTTATAGAGGCATTGAACAGCGCACATCTTCGTACTCAATAGCGCGTGTCTGTATGTGTCCATAAAATAAATATTTTCAAATTCCAGTCACTGAGCCGATGAGTTTGTAGCCAACCCTGCGTATAAATCCGACGCTGTTTAAACGGCGGAACAAAGACACATCTGACTTTTTCCTAAACTACCACTGTACGTACTCTAGCCACTTTTTTCAAAAATACATCAAATACCTCTGGAGTGCCTTTGCTATTGATACCGAAAGAGCTTTTTTAACCATATGTTTTAATATAGTTAGAAAGGAAGATCTGTATCAGTATTTAACGTATCTCATTCACGATAGCCCGCACCATCGACGATCCGTCGGATAGAGGTAAAACACAATAACAAACCACACCGAAGAGACTGTTAGTTTTCACACGGAAATTGGACCTACGCTCTATTGTAACTTCAACCATTATTCAGCGCTTTCGCCAATTGATAGCGCGAGCGGAAATTGCCGACAGTTTTTATTGTGCTCTTTACCTAGTAGAGTGGTTAGATGCTAAATCGCTGATTTCTACCTCTTCCAGGTATTCATAGCTCTGTGTATTCAATTTTTTTGTGCAAGGTATGCTTTTCTCAAATATACTAAGTTCATACGTGGTACTGAGCAAATCGTGAGACCATCACTCAAGGTTTTTACGTTTAATAAATATTGATATCCATCCCATTGTTTTTAAAACTAATCTATTCCTGCAGAAACATAAATTGTGGGTCCTTCTCTCCAAAGAAATCGAAACCAGCCGCCAATCAGAATTTCATTGAGATAAAATATCGAACATAATTGATTCGACTTGATCATTGCATCTAGTTATCCAAAACATCACTTATATTTTTCATTGTTTAGTTTAGATAGTTTTACTGTTGAATGGCGTAGAAACTGAAAAATTGTAGGTTTCCCGCTACGCTAGATTTTTGCCGGGCTTTTTTATAATGGTATCTGCGAATAGTTTGGCAAGCATCATGTTTATATTGACGAGATGGATTGTATAGATTATATATAATATGCATATACATTAGTGCTTATATAATATTAGCAAATTACTTGTTCAATGAAAAGGATTTAGAAGATAAGATATATTGGCGGTGTTAAGGAGCATGTTCGACTTGTGTGCGCGCTTGAATAAGCCCGTACGAGGGCAAGCCGCAGTTTTTGCGAAGTTGTGCCAGTATTGGTGGTAAATATCCAGCCTTAGCTAAGACTATGAACACTCCTGTCAATGTGGATTTCTCATGTTTGTTATTAAACTGTGACATGAATACCGGACCTGATTAATCGGTCAAGCCCTAACGGGAGTAAGTTCAGTAATGTTTTTAATGTCTGAAGGTTTGTTGTGTTTTGGATGTATTTTAATTAAATGTTACGTATATCTTATTCTTACAGAGCTTATGAAAATATTTATGCGGAATCTAGTTCCTGATTCTTCAAAAGTTGGTCGCAAGAGTACCGTTCCTTATGTAAAATAGTGTTTAGTGTGCAAGAGAGAATTTATGAAAATTTCGGCGATTGTGGTGATGACACTCAGTGGATAAACGCTCTACTGTTTTTGACTGAGGTTCGCAGTCTGCATTAACTAGTTAATTAACATCGTAGGGGATCATTTATCAATAGATGAGCATACTACGTAGATGCATATTTCACTAGATGCAACTATATGAAAGTCATAGACTTTCGGAATTAAAATTTTACAGAATGGCGTGGAGAGCCGATGAAAGCCAAAGGGCATTTATAGAGAAGAAACTTGAGGAGCTAAAACGTCGAAAAGAGGGCGGGAGTTTCCTTCCTGAAGAAAAACCGGTGGTTCCCGAAAAAAAGGTTTGTTCTTAAGCAAGTAATAGAACAACTTTTTGGAAGAATTTTCACATCATAAGCGAAGTTTTTTTCCTATATAGAGAGCTACAACGTCAGTTTTCGAGGATTTTTGATCGCAGTTAAAGTAGTCAATCATTGGAGAGCTCGCGAACATGTTCAGCGCCAACCATGAATAAGTGTCTCTAACTTGAAAAAAATGTTGTTTTAATTAATCCTTCTAGCCACGCCCGGCTAGTAAAAATAAAGTTAAAGCGTCCGCCTTCGATGCATCATCAGCGTCGCGTAGTGATGCTTCAAAGCCACGAACCTCATTTGAGGGTATTCTGGGCGGTACTGGAGATGGAAGCATTCCGGTACAGCCTCCTCCGACAGTACCGGAGCCCACCACGATGGCAACACCATCATCAGCATCACAAGCGGCCACCAGTTCCCAAGTGTCAAACGACAGTCTACCCTCCCTTACGAACGTGTTTAAAAATGACGGTTCGTTTCTTGAGCAATTCAAGAAGATGCAGAAGCTCAAGATCGAGGTTCGGTCGAAGCAGGAGCCGCAGCTAGAAACGACCGACGCTCAACGGAAGCTTGAAGAGGTATGGTACTGCTGGCATTAACTCAGCAACCTTTCTTCTACTCTCACGACAATCGTTGAGCCTATGTCTATTAGTGTCTGTGTTCGGTTATCGGGTGAGACTCGGATAAATCGCGGGTTTGCCCTGTTCTTGTGTGTGGCAAAACGGCGACGGGCCGCTTGGCCACGGCCGGGTCCTAGCTGGACATTGTGAGAAAAACTCACGTTCAGCGCTGTTGATGCCTACACACGCACACACAAACACGCACACACACAAACACACAGAATGTATGAAGGATGGACGAGTAACGGGATGTCCATTCAGGAAACTGCAGGGGAGCTTACAGCGCGCGACATGGTCGCTGAGCCGAGGCGTCAACAGATCGAACGACTTGCGATTTCTGTCGTTGTTAACGGGCCGAGCTGCGAGACTCAGGCAAAGGCTGGTAAAGACATGAAGTTCCTGACCGAGCAGACGGGCAACGAATGGGAGTTTTACCAAGAAAGGTAGGGTGGATTGTATACCAAGTCCGTTTTTACGTATGATTAGGCCCTGATAAATTACCCAGTAAAGTATTCTAATACCAGATATAGGCAGAAATGAGTGTAGCCGCTTCACTTACAAGGTGTTATAATATAATGTAATTTATTAGTGACTGGAGTGCTACGAGACAATGTTTTTAAAGCCAATTCTGTTTTTATCTAAAGCAGCATGTAAGGTGATATCTGCACAGACGTGAACTCTTCCGGTTGAATGAGGCTTTTATGATAAGAAGTGGTTTTTATTCGTAGATTTCTCAATTAGCAATTATTTAAATAATACCTATATTCATTGTGCTATAGTGGCTTCATTTCATTATATCAGCTAGTTAGAATTTAATCTGTATGTAGTTTGGCCTACTTCTTATTTGCAAATTTCGTTCTATTTATTTGAAGTCAATTAACACTCCACGGAATAATGAATTCAGCTTCGAACACGTATATTTAGATTGGAGATTTTTTGAATATCATGATGTGCTAAATTTTATCAGATTGCAACAGTGGACCCAAATTTCATTTACTCGATTTAGCTCACAAGAAAAGTGTAAATAATTTGCCATCTACATTTCAAAATTATGCAGATGTCGCTAACTTACTTGTATTATGGAAATTACGTCGATTTTCTATTATGATTGAACAGGACCCGATCCAGCACAACAATTACATTGCGTATGTGTTCACTGACAGCTGCTCAGTTAGTCATAGACAAGATTGGGCGCGTTCAAAAATGCAGGAAAGACAACAGTGGAGAACACATGTGACAGTAAAGCAGACTTTGAAAATGACCTAGAGCGATTCGCTTGGCTATTGTTTTTACTTTGTACTTGATTTTAGTTGGAAATTCTAGCCAATCAACAGTGTCTACGAGTTTGTCTGCAAGTGTAACTAATTAGTTTAGTTAGTTTCTATATTGTATAGAAGCATTAATGATACTAATAGAGGAAAAGTCGGTCAAGGAAGCATGTCAAACAGGAGCCATACTTACGATACTTGTGTTGACTTGTCGAGCAACAGACATAACATCGAGAGGTTTAGCGCTGCAATCTTTTGTGTCAAAAGTTTTTTAGTGCACATTTGTCGTCTTAAGGGCCAACGCGAATTATATCACTTGGTTGCTGTTTAGGCTAACTGCGCTGTCCGCCGCAAAAGATCGCGCCGAACAAAGTGGAGCTCTCCCAATGGTTCGAGAGGAGGTTGATCGTGAAGCTCGTCGACAAAAGAGGAAAACGCGCTGGGGAGATTGGGGGCCTGAACAAAACAGAGATCTTCCTCTTATGGCATATGCCCAACAGGTAAAATGTGATACAGCAAAATTGTTGTAATAGTATTCCTGGTTACCTGTACCTATGCCTAATTCAATATAGATATTCTTCTCTTTCGTTATCTCTTTAAAACCTTTCTATTTTCAAAACATTGAGATGTTATTTAAGAACATTCCAAGATCACCTAGCGATTATGAATGTTATACGTTTTATTTATTTGTCCGAGGTTATTGAATACATCGATCCTGTTGTCTTTCGTCTCAACTATTGAATTTTAACTCTTTATCATTTATCAGAGCTGCTGCAAAGTGATATAGAAGGTTCTCTAATAATCTTATGGCGCCTTTACTTTGCATGATTTTGCAGGTTTACGGCTCAACCGATTTGACACCTGATCAGTGGAAACAGCTTGAAGACCAGCGCAAAATGCGAGCTATTTTTGAGATGATGCAAGCGAAAAAAGCGCATTTAGCCAAGTTACAGGCAGCTGGAAAGGTCAAATACGAATACGACTCCGATGAAGATGATGAAGGTACGTCTATGTAGTACAGCGACCCGTAATCCATACATATATACATTTATCCTCAGTAGAAATTTATGCGGTGGATAACTAGTTGGCGTTTACTCAAAAAAAGAGCTCTATCATTTCTCTCATATAGATGAGATCGCATATATGTGACCTATGCCCTCAAACATGTAATTATTGAACAAAATTAAAAACGTCTGCTCAAAATGAGCTTTCTTTGTGTTGTTCGTGTGCTTGATCCAAGGTGGCACCTGGGAGCATAAGCGACGTGCGCTTGAGATGGAAAAAACACGTGAGCAGGCGAAAAAGCTCACACAGAATGCTCGCGGCAAACATCATATGGGGGACTTTTTGCCGACCGAGGAGTTGGAGCAATTTATGAAACGTTATGAGGCGCTGAAGAACGGTCAGAGTCTCAACCTTAATGCATACGAAGAAAATAAGCTAAAAGAAGACAACGTCGGTTTTCAAATGTTGCAAAAAATGGGCTGGAACGAAGGCAGCGGTTTGGGAGCCCAGGGAGCCGGAATAACGACGCCCGTAGCCGCGCAGGGCAACACGGAACAACGCGGCTTAGGTCAAGCTAAACCTGGCGACCTGAATGCCGAGGACGATGAATACGAAGCGTACCGCAAACGAATGATGCTGGCGTATCGCTTTAGACCCAATCCTCTGAACAATCCACGTCGGCAGTACTACTAACTGAAAATAAGATGAAACAAAACATGCCTAATCAGACGTGTGTATGCAGGTATGCTTGTAGAACGAAAAGGTTCCGTCGGTACAATTCATAATGATACACAATATTATCAAGAGGAAGCATCCAAAGTGGTAGCTTCAACGGTAGTCCTTTTCGTCTTAACTACACGCATCTTTTGTTTGGTTGTATCATTAACTTTTGCGGTACGCAGCAAATGAGGCTGACCGAGACTCGAATCGACCTATTAATCCAATTTTTGAACTTCCGAAGTTCTCGATAATCAGACAAAGCAGAGAAAATTGAAAATTTAATTGCCAATAAATTTTTATAATTTAACAAAGGCCACGAAATACCAGCGTCTATAGAAAAAGGCATAATTCGCTGTATCAGCAGCAAGATATTTTTGGCAATAGAATAAATAAGTACGATCTATATCAACAGATTTAGCTATATAGCGACGTTTCATTGTGAGCTTTCGCGGACATGCGCCTGATTGAATAGATATCTTTACCGGCATATGCTGAGTATTTACGCGTTCGTCCGCGGAAATTGCATGGTAAGTTCTAATCAAAAACAGAATGATGACGCAGGAAAGCAGATACAAAATTACGGATCATTACAGTCAGACGTGCGGAATGCCAGATTAGTCAGCGAGCCGATGGAACGTGCTCCTAGGAACCTCTTACGATAAAAAACGGACTTTTATGAGGCTGCTAACGACGATGTTTAAGCGATTGCCCGATCGAATTTTCGAATCTTGATCGAATTTTGATTGTTCAAAAACTGCTGAACAAGTTGTCTAATTAAACTTAAGAATTCTGTATCGAAGGAAAAGCAAAATACGTTACTATTTTTAGAAGCAAAAACTATCGTGTAAGATCACATAAGTATTGGGTGACGCCGTTGGCTTTATCCCTTTACACTAGCATCGAAAGAGATGTTGTGTAAAGTTGCTTACTTCACCAGAGTCAGTCTGAGCGCCGACATGCGCTGAGTATATTCAGAGCTGCGGAACAACAAAGAATACAGAACTGTAAATAAAAAACTGAGATTGTTATTGACAAGCACTTACCTTTGTGTACTTGGTTTTAATATATTTTATGTCACGGGATTTATTGTTTGCCATTGGATAACAAAGCACTCTTAAATATTACATACAATGTAGGTGAAAATTGAACCAACCAATAACATGTAATACACTATTAGATTTCGGTGTACCTTAAAGATTTATCAGGTCGTTGTATAGTTGAGAACACACTAATAGGAATGAATACAGCTTCTTATTATTATTATATCATTAAAATATATTCTTTATAGTGTCTAGGACGACTTAATTGTAAATACGGCAGTACTATAAGGGCTCAATATCCTGTGAAGTGAAATAAGAACAGATGTTTTTCTTAGAGGTTCAGTATAACGCTCACTTTTTTCACTTTTGCTGAACCTTAGTTTACTTAGAAAAAAAAAATTAAAAGTCAATATAATTACGTGAAATTCATGAAAATTTACTATCTCCTTAGCAGAGAAATTGTTTTAAACTTTATTCTAATAAGGCCGTGGAACTGCCCCCAAATTTGAATTTTCACTAACGCACAATATATTCAAGATATCTAAAACGAGTCACTACTCATATTTCTAATCTTAAGTTATTAAAACAGGACAAATTCCGCACTTGCTAAAAGTGTATTCACTCTTGAATTTTATTTGTTATTAATTTTAGGAAGAGCCGTAATCTGCGTCATATGTATTTTATAATTGCGTACTGCCTCTAGCTTTTTGCTAGGGGCTTTTTGTTTTCATCCTTCGTCAAACAACTCTCAACTTTTTGTGTTCGCTTGTTTGCCGTTCTTTCATAGTTGATATAAGTATTTGCAAGTTAAAAGTTGTCGATATCGTTATCATATGTTGCTTAGTAAAAATAAGCATCAGAAAAAAGGCCATATTATAATAGAAATAATACCAACAAAAGTCATAGCAGTGTTTTGTTATTTCTTTACCACCAAGTCATTTATATCTCCATCTTCATCGTTGTATCTGTCCCTTTGCCTTTGAAGCTTCCCGCCTTCATCTCATAAGTTAATTTAAGTGGCCTCTCTCTGTCGTTTATATATTGAAGATAAACACACACTTAAATCCATTATCATCATCGATAAAATCCTCTTATCGTCCACGAATATAAATAGATTTTCGCTCGCTATATA